CTGCCATCTCCAGAACTCGACCCATTTCCCGACAACTCTCTCAAAGGGCCTTCTTCGTACCTTTATAACCCCTAGGCACGGACCACGCAGAAAACACAGCCTCTCTATTGTTGATGCCTTTTTCTGATACGTTGCCTAGCAATGGACGTCCTAGTGTTGCACACGTACGATTGCGCGGACTTATGTTTATAGAGTTGTTGCCTAATAAGAGTCTATACTTCACAATATGTTTCTTTATGTAACAGCAGTTTTCACTGGGAAGCCTAACTTCAACTTTAATTACCGTATTTACGCATGTATAGGCCGCGTGCGTGTATAGGCCGCAGCACAATTTTCAGACAGAAATTATAGAAAAAATAATTTTCTTGGAATATTATTTCAGGAGTATTACACCCTGCATTACTAATTATGAATATAATTTTTTTTAAATAAAATGTGATTTCGAATATTTCGAATATAAGCCGCACCCCAGTTTTCCTCTTGAATTTTTGGCAAAAAATGTGCGGCATATACATGCGTAAATACGGTAATTTTATATATTAATTATATTCTTAGAAATTCCAAATGAAATTTAATGTAAGCCGTAGTTACGTCACTGCCTCGAAAATTAGAAACTGATAACCAGCAAAGGAGAGGGATTTCATCATATTTCTTTCAAATTTCTTTGTATTCATTTTCCCAGTATATGTGGTATAAGTTAATGGAAATCTGAAAGGCTTAAAGTGTGTTGCGTGGTATTCGTTTGGCCACAACAAACAACGTTCAATCTCAGTTTTGCTGCTCAATAGCTCCTTAAGTTATAAGTTGATTTTTAGATCATTATTTTGATTACGGGAGTTTTCTCCTGGTGAAGTTATTCTTGTAGAAGTACAATGTGAGGGGCTTGACCAGTCGTGGGGCCAGGACAACTAATTGGTGTTGCCGTTATTGTTTAGTTTGTTAACACAGCTGTCAAAACATATCAATGCGCAGGCAAGGCGGGAAACTGACTGACGCTTCAATAGGAAACATCAGAACAGGATCCTTGAATAGGGAACTTTATGGGTGGTGACTCCCCCTGACACTACTCAGAAGTGGGCTCTATTATGAGAAGAAGTGGCCACTAATTGAACAAGTGACGCATCAGTCTTATAGTGCCAATGCTACGAATCTGCACATTTGTCATCACTAAATATTACTTCAAGGCTACCGTTTGTCTTCCGCCAACAAACAATTTTGTCAGTTTCTATGATCTGACTGATTCGTGTGTGAAGTAGTAAAGGCTGTCATATCTGACACGATTAACTTTACTTTTCCGAGGATCACAATTTTGTAATATTTGTTTGTTTTTGTTTTTGTCCCATAGGTTTCAATTTGCTACAGTATGTCTCTCTTTCACCCCACGATCAACGCTCAACCATTTTAGAGTTGACTGTGTTGCCAATTTCTGAACTCTATCTGCGTCACTTTCCCAGGATGTTACATTATCCCATGCATCGTAACACAGGAGAACAAAATGGCAATTTTCGTGAAAAAAAAAGTTTGTAACTTTGTTCATAAAATGTCACCCTACTAGTAGCTAGTATTTATAATAATTCAGTAAAAACACAATATGTATCAACAGCATGTTGTTGTTTTTTCATATTCCATAAAAGATATTAGTAACAAAAGCTACAAGTACTTCTTCCATGTACATATATATATATATATATATCAGGACAAAATTTTTAGAACAGTAACGAAATTAGCCCAGTATTTTACCAGGCATTATTATTATTATTATTATTATTATTATTATTATTATTATTATTATGTTTTAGAAACCGAGTTCCTATTTAGTGATTTCTCTGTGTTCAGTGTCTTTCTTTCTAGTAGCAATTGTTATCCTGCCAGACGCGCTTCAGCTGCTAATGCTGCTTGCAGGGACTCTGACATGTAATATTTGGAACAAAACTGTTTCTTTTAATCATATTTTATAATGGTATTTCCTTATTATTAAAATATTAATTTAATTTTAATGAATATGTATATTTTCTCTCCGCTTTAGTGTTTGTGTGGTTAAATTAGTTGAATTATTGTATAAATGGTAATATTTTTCTTGTGTTCTCTTTTGTTTGACTGTGTGTGTATACTTTTTGTTTCTCTCTTTGCTCGTGTTTACTTTATAATTGACCTTTGTGCTTCTAAATAAGCACAAATATAAGTACAGATTTTAGTTTGAATGAAATAAAATGAATTCTTATGATCACATAAACAGTGGAGGATTTAGATATGAGATCCCCGGGACAATAAAGTGCGGAGTCCCTCTCAACGACTGCACAGTGATCTAATGCATCGCCAGATGCTTGGATGAACCAAGAGAAATCACGCAAAATCTCAGCTACGATACCATAACCTGCCGCGATATGAACCGGGCACCTCATGAAAAAGAAACAGTAATGCTGTTCTAACCGGACAGATATTCACACTGTAAATCTATTCTGTCCACACTGGCCAGATCATAGGAATTTAGGTCGTGTTGTTGGGAGTTATCTGTGTTTCTTCTAGATGAATCGAAAATTGGACGAGATGAAATGAGATTTTGACGTCCGTTTATGAAACGATTTCTTTTGTACGGAAGCTACAAGGCGTTGTGAGGTCCATTTCCAATTGTTAGACTAGCTCTATTTTATTCCGTGAGTGGAGAAAACTGTCAGTCACAGAGTACCAGTTAGGGAAGGTCTGATTTTACTGTACTTTTTATTGGGCAATGTTATAAACTGTATACCTTTTTACAATATCAAAAAAAAAGAATCGATAAATAGTAGAATACAAATAATTTTTTTAAACAATTCTATGGGCCGCTAAAAATAAGCATTAAAGATGAAATGAAGAGATAGAACACCAATTCTCCAACGAAGGAAGAAGTGCAACACACGATCAGGATAAGCTCTGCCACCTACCGGGAATATGAGCAACTATCTCTCATAGTCAGCTTTTTTAAAGAAGTGCTATTTTCGCCGACAGAGACCGCAAGCCGTCTATATTTACACCTGCCGTAAATAACGAGGGAAGGAAATGCCGACTGGAACTAAAAATACTTTCTGGAATTCCAATCTGTAAACCCTGCCAAGTGCTAAATCCTGTGCTTAAATTAGATTAATAAAAGTATAATTACCTTCCTTAGAAGACGCTGAAAATCGTACGCTGCTGAAATAGGTTTTCGAATAGAAAAACATTTTGAGATGTCGTGATTGACAAGAATTCCACCAGAGAAAAATAAAGAACAAAAAAAATTATTCATAAACAAACATTTTTGAGAAAGTTGTTATTATAACCTGAAATTGATTTTATATAAAGTTTCTACACACAATAATTTTATTAATGCACATATTTTTAAAGAAAAATGTACAGTTTTATAAACGACATAAATATATTTACGTGACATAGCTTGACCGATGTGGTTTAAAATATAACATTTTGGGAAATGTGTCAATTAAGAGGAGTGCTGTCTTTTGGGATGTAGCGCCATGTTGCTCAGTAGAATTTCGCCGACATTTTGAGGAACGTCGGTAAAGAACCGGACTAAACTGTCACATACTAAGACAGCACTCTTTGCATTCGCCGATGTAATCAATTCAAACCCAGTATCTGACAAATAAACAGGGCCTGATTTACAGTCGTGGGGCCTGCGAAACCTAAATAGAGGCTACTATCAGAAAAAACAAATTCAGGTTATAACTATTTTTCAGAGGGGCACGCGGTGGGGTATTTGGTTGAAGCACTATGCTACAAACCGGAAGGTCGCGGGATCAAGTCCCGATGAGGTACATCTTTTTTCAATTTACCTAATTCTTCCAGCCGCACTACGGCCCTGTGGTCGACTCAGCTTATAACAGAAATTAGTACCAGGAATTTTCCTGGGGGTAAAAGGCGGTGGGCGCGTAAGGCTGACAAATTTTACCGCCCTCTGTGAGCCTACTGTCAAGAAGATGTGAGAGCCTCGACGTCTCACAACGCTATGGGGCTTTATGGCCTGTTACAAGGATATCTTTACCTTTACCTATTTTTATATTCCTATTTCTTATACAATTAAATATGCGAAGAAACGTTTTGTAATTTTAGAGAAGAAAATGACTTAGTGTAATCCGCGGATTCTAGTTCTGTTTTGTGGAGAGGGTCGGGCCTATCGCCCTGGCGCTTCCCCTTAGATGTGGCCCTGCATAAAAATTAAATGCATTTAATAAGAATCAGACAAATGTTTCAGGATATGGTGAAGTAATCATATAATTGTCTCATTCTGTTGGTAGTAGTCTAATTGACAAATATGATTGGTTCACAATGGATATTCTAGATATATTTTCAGTACACATCCCTGGTACCAAACTTGGGCCAAAATTCGTACAATCACAGACAAGTTGCTTGTGAGTACAGACACGCACACAAACTGATAAAATGTAATAGGCTTCAACTGCTTTTATTTTGTGAACTTATCTAAATAAATCTCTTCAAATTAATTTTAAAGTAAAACATTATGAGCCGAAGACAAAGCAAGTCCAAAATATTCAGATGTACGTGTACTGTAACAGACAGTATATGAAGCACCTCAACATAAAAAAGGTAAAGTTGACTCTGTGCTTAAATAGTTAAGCACTGTGTCATAAAGATGTATGGGGGTGTGGAATTATAGATCCACATTTTCATGACCTCGGCACAAGTTGGTGATGAGTGGTCAGCTACATACCCCGGCCGCTTTATCCTAGGGGGCACAGCCCATGGTACTCATTTGATAGGCGGTTGGTTGGACCCCAGAGCCGGTCTGGACGACGTGGAGATGAGAGAATTCTTGCCTCTACCTGGACCCGAACTCTGATCCCTCTGTCGTCCAGACCGTAGCCAGTTGCTATACCGACTACGCTATCCCGGCTAGTAAAGCACCTTAATATAGCTCAATAAATTTCTTTCCACCTATATATTACTATTATCCATGCCTGACGTACATATATACATATAAGCAAACGCTCAGGTGTTCTCTTTGACAGGTCCCGTAGCAGCCCCAGCGGCTAGATCAAAGATGTCTTGGCCCTCCTACACTTGAGCCTTCAGCAAGACATCTGTCAAGATAGAGCTATGACGTCATCATTAGTGTCAAGTAGAAGGCAGACTAATAAGCAGGTAGGAAATATCTTTCTCTCGATCCAGGGCCTCCATTCTAAGTTTCAGTAAACTGTGTGCCGGAATGGGTGAGAAAAGATTTGGACGTGCCAAGAAGTCGTTCACACATGAATTAGATGCTCTGGGGCTAAGTGTATGCTATCTATAATCTAAAATTTAATTTTAATTGAAAATATGGACAATAATGATTTGCAGCTTTTATGAAAGGATTTGTTACTTCAAAACACCTGAGAGAAATAATAGGATATATCTCAATGTCAGTCAAATGTCTGATACATGTAAATAGGCACTATTTACTCTCGATTATTTTATCGATCATCTCATTTCGCCCCCGACTGCGACTGTTCTATCTCCCCCGAAACTTAGTTGCCACTTACTTTAACTAATGTCTTCCTCCCATTACTGCTAACCTTTTAGCACGTTATCAGTACCAAGAAATCTGCGCTAAAAAGTGAAAAGTTTATACAGGAAATGTTGCGGTGGTGTGGACATGTAGAAAAAGTAAAAATATATGACCGAATTGACAGATTCAGTCGACACCTACTGAAAGGTTGAGAAAAGGAAGCACAGAATCGTTGTGGTTAGACGAAAGTTTATTTCAAATTGAACAATTTAGAAGAAGGGAACCGTAATGAACCACAGTAGAGTTAAGTGAGAAACGTACGAAAACTTGAAGATCTTGAGAAGAAAAAAGAAGGAAACGAAAGGAAAAAGAACAAAAAGAAAATAACAACAAAGAAGTTGGTTTTGCTTACATCCTCAAAAAAGGAGCCGGGCTAGCTTATTCAGTATGGCGACTGGCTACGGGCTGGACGACCAAGAGTTCAGACTTGAAGTCCCGGTGAGGGTAAGAACTTTTACTTCTCCACGTCCTCCAGACCTGCTCTAGGACCCACCTAACCTCCTATCTAATGGGTGCCGGGCTATCTTTCCCATGAGGTAAAGATAGATAGATAGACAGACCTGTTGGTAGTTTCCGTAATGAAATTTTTGAGGACAAGTCAAAATTTTCCCTGTTCTTAACTAAGTAACCACTATGCCATGAAGGCGTATGGGTAGGGATGTATAGATCTACATTTTCTTTACCTCGACACTAGTTGGAGATGAATTGTCAGCTTCACGCCCCGGCCGCTTTACTCCCGGAGAAAGGGCCCCGGTGCCAATTGAATAGGAGGCTGGGTGGGCCTTAAAGCCGGTCTGGACGACGTAGAGAAAAGAAAATTCTTGACGCTTTTAGGACTCGAACTTCGATCCCTCGGTCACCTAGCGCTTTTACTGGAGCAATACTGCAAGAAATTTCAGTCAGGATAGCCGGTGTCCCGACTGAGATTCGAACTGTGGACCTCCCAAATATAAGTCTATAACATTACCGCTACGTCAGTTGGGTCCGCTTTTTTGTCGCTGTAGAAGGAAACGTCAAGGTTTCGGAGTCTATCTCGGCATTGGCCGTCAAGGAAAGTCACAGAGTTTTCCTACTATGCAGTTGTAGCGGCCTCTGTAGTCTAGGGGTAACATTCCAACCTCATGACTCGAGGTACGTGGGTTCAAACCCGGCGGAGGTCGTGGAATTTTTAATGGCGGAAAAATTCAGGGAACAAGTCCTCCGGGAGGGACTTTAAGCCGTGGGTCCCGTGTCGTAGATTTACGGCACGTAAAAGATCCTCATGTCTCTAGGAGACCTCTGAGCATAATTAGGCAACAAGTTCCCGCCCAAGTAGTTTCCAATGCCTCTGGTAGATGGGGGAAATATCAGGTACCGAGGGCATGCAGTTGCCTTATCACCGTAATGGCGTAGAAACTGTTCCCGCGTTAGTATTGGCCAGCTTGCTTTTCGGACGTGATCGGACTGTCATAAGTTGAAAATCCTGTACATAGGTATATAATATATTTTATATATACATGAATGTTCAGTTCTTTGCGTAAGTAGAACGGCCCGTAAAGCGAACCGAAATTAACCAGAATCAAAACAACGTACCAAAATATAATGAATATCTCTAATACCGAGCTTAAGCGAAATCGAATTTCGTAACTTCGTCACTGCCATTGGAATGCAGCCAGATGGATAAGATGAGCTGATTTTCGAGTAATTAGCGAAAATATTCGGAGAATGCTTGAGGTTTTGTAACAGAATTAACATTTGTCCTGTAAAGTAAAATTAAGTACTTTCTAACGCCAGTAAGAACCAATCTATGGAAGTAAAAGATGAATAAAAAACATTTTAACATTTTATAGTTTTATAATTCGGTGCACACGGTAGCGTAGGTGGTTGACATACTATGCTACAAGCCGGAAGGTGGCGGGATTGAAACCCGATGAGGTGGAATTTTTCAATTGACCTAATCCTTCCATCTGCACTATGGCCCTGGGGTCGACTGAGCCTCTGACAGACATGAGTAACAGGAATATTCTTGAGGTTAAAGGGCGGCCGGCACGTAAGGCTGACAACCTTACCGCCATCTACGAACCGATTATCTAGAAAATGTGGCAACCTCAACATCTGACAGCCCTATGGGCCTCCATGGCCTGTTAGAGGGATACATTTAATTTAGTTTCTACTATAGTTTTATAACTAAACTAAGCCATTTATAATATGTTCCTCTTCAGTTCAGTGAGAAATAGAAAATTCTCCCATTGTAGGCCAACGAAGATTATCAGTAATGGCGTACAGAACTCAGTTCATGAAAGTGAATGTATCCGCTGTTCTACCAACCAAAATATTGTAATACACATGATATCGCATTTAACAGTTTTAAAGAAATAAAATACTGAATCGCAAATGTCATTGTGTTACACGACCGTATACCTTGGTAGTATTCTTTATTCACCTTCAGTTCACCAGAACCGTGAAATGCTAGTTCGAACCTCCTCTTTCTTTTTTTAATTTAATTCGTCACACATGTCAGGTACTCGAAATTTCCTCACATAATTCGACACCCACATTTTCGGATATTTTAATTATCTCGTATTCTGATCATTAAGCATCGTGTATCATTCACAAGCAGAAATGACAATTTGAAATCAATTTCTTGACCGTTGTCCTCAGTTTCTCTGACTTACCGTAAAGTACCTTAGGAAAGACAATTCTTTTCCAATAACATTTTGCAATTCGCCAATCACAATTATCTAATAGACGGCCCCAAAATTGATGCAACCTTTAATGTTCAATGTGGAAGGTCGTTTTGTTTTTGTTTGAAGCTACAGGATTAAGTTTAAAAGAGATACATCGTCGTCTGTATTAGCCGTATGAACACACTCACGGCAGCTAGTCTCGACATTATCTTATGTGACTGTGAGGATATAGCTTATTTAATATTTCGTCACTTGGGTCACTTATTTATGGAACTAAGTGACTTTTATGACGCCCCCATAAATAGAGTCCTGCATCTCATTCGAAGTGTAGGATTAATAAAGGGTTAATCAAAGGGGAAGCACAATAGATCATTGAAGGTCGCGGTGCGAGGGCCGGATTTTATGGCCCACCCCTTACACATACACACATACATACATATATACATACATACATACATACATACATACGAGTACATGCATAGTGTCGAATTAATAATTCTACAGTCGCTTCCTATTTAAGCATTCATTCAATTAACATTTTTACTGCAAGTGTAAAGAGTTATTGAATTCTGTTCTATAATATGAATATGAATGAAGGGACAAAACACGCTTAACTTCGTCAGAAGGTCACTCATGCATATCACCAGCCATGTGTGTCTATGATTTGTTCATGACATTTTGTTTTAATACTAGAAATATATTGATTGTATAAAATAATAATATTACAAAGCCACAACAGAGAAATTTCTTACACGTCAGGAATGGGGTGGGGGTCTCCGGCCGTTCACTAAGTATATGATAAAAAATATATTCTACTACTAAATGTAATTAATCTTTATAAACTTGGCAAATGTACACACATGCATCACTGTAAACAGAGGTACATAATCTCTCTAGAAGAAAAATTAAATGCAATCTATCGACCTCAGTTGATCTGTCTGTGAAGTTGTATCGATCCAAAATGGACAATCATAAAATTATCTTCGATTATGTTGGCTAAGTAACACATATATTAAAATTTATTGCAATAAGAATCAGACCAGATAATTCACATGAAATATAGGAACACTAGGAAAAAAAAGTCGAAAACAAACTGATATCTTCATTAAAAAAAACCTTTAAAGTCAACTATACTTTCATCGAATTATTTTCAGTTGCTGTGTTTTGAAAACGTCATGGAACGTCCATGGCATCTGATAATGGTTATTCTTCATAATCTCACATACATGGTGTTATATCGACTGGGTTCAATTGTTCCAACAATAGATCATTCAGGTATGACGTACTTTCTGTAAGACAATTTAAATAAAAGAATTAATATTTGTGTATTTTCCTAATGGAATCTCCATGCATTTCTTTCGGGCTCTTATTTTGGTTTGAATATTCTTCGAGCTGGGTTCAGGATCCAACTCGCTGGCGCGCTGCAAGCACCTGGGTCCGGTTTCTCTATAGATGAAGGTCGCCGTAGCACCGGAGAAGAGGGGCAGCTCTTGCTTGTAGACGGTCCTGATACCTCTGCTGCTCCAGAAGTCGCCCCTTCCTTGCTCAAATGCAGGTCCACAAGAAGGCTTTGTCGGCACAACATAGATACGGTGTTCATCTTCCCCCCATCCTTGTCCTTGTTCCTCCTCATCTTTACTTTCCTGAAACGAGAGGTAATATTTGAAATTCCAAACCTACTAAAGGCCTGGGCTTTTGCTTTGCCGTCTTGACTGTCAGAAGCACTCGGTTGTACATCAACAGACTCCTTGTCATCGTAGAATTTCCTGTAAGTGTTAGGGTCAACGTTAATCATTCCTGCGCTCGCCGATTTAACCAGTAACACGCCTTCATCACTGACGGTGCTACTGTCTTTTCCAGACTCTCCAGTAATAATAACTGAGCCGTCACAGCTGGATTCACTTCCCACACTCACTTGACTCAACCGACTGCAATTTCCGTTATCATTGTCTCTTATTCGAATTCCTGGTCTCAAAATGTCTTTCCGAGTTCCACCAGTGGGGTCTCCTCCCCAGAACGGCTCTGGTGACACGGAGGCACTAGGCGTGTCAGTAGATGTTCCTCCATCACTGGTCCAACTACGACCTCCTGGTCCTCGGGTGAGGAATTCTTCTTTTGCCCGTTGTATTCGCAAAGCGCGCAAGCGAGATGGAGGTGGACTGTAGTGGTGCAGTCCAATCTCTGGTGAGGACGGGCTGGACGGACTGGGTGAAGTATTCCCTCGTGGTGACGGTGGCTTCTTCGCTGTAGACTTATCTGTTTCGGAGGAGGGCGTAGTCTCGACAGCTCTCCCTGCATTCACATTTACCGGAACTGGAGTAGATATAGATTTTATAGAACCCGCACTGGGGCATTTCAGAATACTTCTTGGGTTCGAGAGTACTGTCAACGGTTTAGTACCTACAGTGTCCGTACTGCCCTTATTTGGTCCCCTTTCGGGCTCCGTAACAGACGAAGTTTCCGATGTCCTGATGATTCCTTCACTGGCCGATTTCTGGACTTTATTTCTTCCGAGATGCGCTCCTATCTTTTTACCACCGTGCTGCAATACTCTTTGTACTTCTTCTTGGTATTTCTCCATCTGGGCCCGAACGCGGCGTTCCGCAACAGGAGACCGCCATGCTACTGGTGACGCCGATCCGCTGCCACTGACCTCAGGAGACCTGCCACCAGCACCATCTTGTTGTTCTGTTAGTTTCTGATTGTACTTCGCTATCATCATACGAATACTAGGCGCAGTTTCCTTGGTTGCCACTTTAAACAGATCGCGTCTACCGAGATTTGGGGATTGTGGTAGAAGGGGAAGAGATGACAAAGGAGTGACTGCACGGGAAGACGACGTTGAATTATCCCCTTTGTTATTTTTGTTTCTTTCTAGTAAAGAATCCCATTGTGACTCAGAATCTCTTTTTAAATTCTGTTGCTTCACCGAATTTACATTTTCATCTACTCCAACATTTTTATTTGCGACGTTTTCCTTCCAAGGCTGTAATTTGGTTTCATGTTCCTTGTTTGAGTCCGATTCAAACTTGTTCTCGCTGGATAATCTGACTTCAGTTTGAGATATTCCGTATAATACTTTATTCTGAGATTTTAACATTGAATTTGGATCTGAAGTTTTGATTGTATCATTGTAACTCTTGTCCACAGCCCTTGAAGCTGCTCTCCTCGTCAAAGCCGGAGACGACGACTGTGACCTATTTCGTGTAAACATCCAAGATGGTGGCGGTCTTCCGTTGTTGCCGAGATTTTCTCTTCTCTGGACTGCTGAAGGGTTTTCATTTGAATGATTTACACTCTCTTCTCTTCTGAGAATGCTGATGACTGGAGATGGTACTGCCTGCTCGGCTTCCTGAAGGACTTGTGCTTCGTCCATGCCACATGTTTCCCCCACAACATAACTGATGACAGAAGACGCTGTTCCTCCACTGTTTTGTCGTACAGGAGAGAATATTTTTCGCGTAGTTTTTACGAAAACATTATCAGGGGTTGACACAGAGCAAGATTCTGTCGGATTCTGTGCACACCAATTGATTCCAGAGGTTCCCGCCTTAGCTGGGGAAAGTCTGTCTTCTCTTCCTAGAGAACAAAGTTGCCTAAATCCTGTGCCGCGGCTTTCAGAGATTTGAATATTAGTAACCCCTGGTCCTAATTCCCTTTGTTCCTTCCCATCCTCTTCATTTCTTGCACTGCTTTTTGTATCGGTATGGGGAGAAATCTCGGAGATGTTCCGACACGTCTCTGCCAAAGCATTTTTTGTTGTATTGTTTCCATTCCCACCATTACAAATTATACTATCGCTTCCAAATTTTAATGTTTGTTCCTCAGAAATGATTTTGGGATCAATGTTTCGCTTATATCCAATATGTGTGTCTGACACCCGCCTCGTTTTTAATATCTTCCTCTGTTTTCCAGGCCTGCTAGAACCACATTTAGCAGCATACACTTCGGTTTCGTAGTACCCGGGAAGTAACCCTTCAGGCAAGTTTTCATGATGATCCTCACTGACATTTTGTTCACAGTGAATTCCGTTCTTGTGTATCGACTCATTATCAGAACCGCATTTTATGATAGTCTTTGTACCCTCATTTTTATCTTCTCCTTTATCGTCATTAACACTGTTCTTATAGTAATCATTTTTGTTTGTATTTTTATCGTTTATTTCAAGTTTCTTATCAGTTTCTTCACTTTCCAATATTTCTGTTCCCACGTGGCCATCCTGTATGTCTGGTTCACTGACGTAACTATCCCCTTCCCTTTCTGCATCATCCTCATAATCACACACTGAAGATGCAGCAGAAGCTGAAGAAACAGCAGAGCAGAAACTGTCTCTGTTGGCAGGAGAGGTTTCCTCCCCCCGTGACGTGCTAGCTACAATCGTATTATCAGTTGATTCAGTGTCAGTAGTCTTCCAGCTCCTGTCTTCCTGGGCCTGATCATGTGAAGCACCGCCTCTTCTCTTCCAGAATGCAGGGGTTATTGTAATGCACGTCACCGGGGAAGTGTTCCCCTCAGAGTCTACTCGAACTGTGGTAGGTGAATCGCTTCTCACGTTTTGGCCTGTATCGGAAATCGAATCTAATCTCTTGTTACATTTGAAGACGAACGTGGCAGTGGCGTCCATTTCATCTGTTTCTTTTTCCCATACCGAATATCTGTTCTTTTGATGATCGGGGGCTGGTACTCCTAGTAAAAGAAATAGAACACATTAAAACACAATTCCTCGTCGTGCATTTTTCATATGGAATGATTTCAGAGACTTTGTTACTAAAGGATTGTACACGTAACTGTGAACTACAAATTTTAACTAGTACCCGACTATTTTTTTCTCTCATTACTACTTATTTGTGAATTGCGTTCTTATCTGTCATGCTTGTCATAAATAAACGTTCACCGCTATCAGTGGACAGCTGATTGTTATGTCTAACACATACCCGAGGTAGTGCACAAGTAGTTCAGCCCTTCTCTTAGTTCCAGCACCTTGTTTGTAAGAAGTGACGGTAGCTGCGTGAGTTCTTCAGAACTCTGCCGAGGCAGGATGGCATAAGTACCTCCACTCTCTAAGCCAATTTCCGGTTCCTGGTTTAAAGAAACAGGAATGTGTATATTTCGGGATCTCTTCTACATGTAACAATGGTTGAATATAAAGGGATTACCTCTGCAGTATGTACTGTATGTGTGTTTTTGCTTCTAATATAAAACGCAGCGATACAAAACCAACATATTATAAACATTAAATGCGTTAGGAAGGAGGACACAACGTTTCTCTAATCATAATTTCCAGTTTTTCACTTTCCCCTCCAGTAGGGTTGTTCTTGCGACAATTAATTCCAACACATTTTTATATACTTAAACAGTCGTAGTCTTAAGGAAAACAATATTTTTAAATTAAATCAATTAGTCCATTCAATATTACGAGTAAAATGGATCTTAGAGAGATAGGATTGGATGGTATCGATTGTGTTTATCTGGCTCAGGATAGGGACCAGTCGAGGTTCTCGTGACCACGGTAATAAACCTTCGGGTTTCAAAAAATGTTTGGAAATTCTGAGTAGCTGCACAATTGGTGGCTTCTCGAGAAAAGCTCAGCTCCATGAGTGAGTGAATTAATAAGATCACTGAAACCTAAAAGGCATACGTACATATATGTATTCAACCTTACATATAAACATACGCGTAGGTACATTCATGCATTCTTTCGCAAGATTTGTATGCCGTGAGGTGATCAACCATAGGGCAAGTTTGGTGGGCAGTCACGTGTCCGACGTTGGGGAACACTATTACTACATGCCAAGAAAAGCGGTCTCTTTGAAAGTGTTACCGAAAATAAATTAAAGAGGTTATACCAACAGAGTGGTGGCGCCTGTACAGTGAAATCTGCGGTTTAAGCATTTCTTGGTCAGCGTGTTCAGGGACTTCGTTGCCTGGAACAAATCGCTGGCCTCATACATGGCTGGTATATTCTCCTTAACATGGATTTGTATCCAGAGTATCATACTTTCAGACCCCAGCGAACATCACATAAATGCAACCTGAGAAAATGAAGGTCATCGTATGTTGCAGTGAACGCTGCATAAGATGTGCATACAAATTGCCTTCGGTCGGGGCTTAGATAAAGAACAATATTATTGGCTTTTCACACGACAAACGCTAGGGTGACAATGCCTGTGTATTCGTCTGGATCCACAGTTACTACACAAATTTTATGATGATGGATAATACAGATCAATGTCAAATTTTTTCCTTAGAATATCATATTAATCAACGTCAGTGTAATAATTTACACGAGATTCACACTGAGTTTTATTAATTTTCTCATAAAATTCCTATCAAAATAATTGGTGACATAAAATTTAACTATTCTAAGATAAATCCTTACGTGCTTTATTGAAATACCTTTTTCCGATATGGTATATATATATATATATTATACTAAATATGGAAACATATTTTATATGCAGTGAGAAGGGCCTATGTATGTATGTATGTATGTATGGTTGTCAATGGCCAATGAAAATGACTTACTTACTTACTCATGGAGCTGAGCCCTTCTGGAGGAGCCGCCAATTTTGTAGCTACTCAAGAATTTCCCAGCATTTTATGGAACCAGAAGGTTCATTACCGTGTTCACAACAGCCCTCTACTGATCCCTATCCTGAACCAGATAAATCCAATCCATACCATCCCATTATCTCTCCCTAAGATCCATTTTAATATTGTCCACCCACCTACTCATTGGTCTTCCCAGTGTTCTCTTTCCTTGTGGCTTTCCCACCAATATCCTATATGCATTTCTCGTCTCCCTCATTCGTGCTACATGCCCTGCCCACCTCATCCTCCTTAACTTGATCATTCTAACAAATAATTACGAAAAATGAAACATATGAAAAATATTTAATTACTCCAATTGGAGTGAACCTTATCAATCTCTTTTTCATTTCTTCCTTTTCAGCCAATTTCAATTACGGTGAAAGCAGACATACGTAAGAGAGGGTCGTGTTCTTTGTGTTTTCTTGTGCTCGTCTGCCTGTATATTTGTCTGTGTTTCCTCATTTCACCTATTGAACTATATGACTGATTATCTTGAAAATTTATATGGACATTAATAGCAGCAAGGACCAACCCAACAAAAGCGTTTACAATTTCCTATGATCGGTACTAACAAAATGGCGGACTCACGAACTTGTCAAGAGGGAGTAATGCCAGCGGGGCTTAATCAGAGTTCTTGAAATTACAAATGGTAACAGGGTTTCGAAAAATACGTACAGTGGAACCTCGTTTAACGAGCATCTCTCATAACGAGTAATTCGTATAACGAGGAAAACAAATTGTAAAAAAATGACTCGTTTAACGAGCGACGTTTCGCATAACGAGTGACGAGAGGGGAAGTCCCGGATTGTGCGCTTGCTACATCAGTCTGTGTTTAGCACTAGTTCCGCTAGCATCTTAGTGTCGCTTGTGATCACACATTTTTCCAAACTTGTGTTCAGACATATTATTTGTGATTCTTTCTGTGCAAAGTTTAATAACCCTTGCAAAAATGTCCCCGAAGAAAAAGCCGCAAAAAGACAGCCATAAGAGAATAAAAATAACCGTAGAAATGAAAGGTAAAATCATTGAAAAGCGAGAACGAGGTGTGAGCGTGGCTGATCTAGCACGCACATATAATCGGTCTACATCACCGATTTGCACTATCCTCAAGAACAAGGACAACATTAAGGAGAGAGACGCTTCAAAGGGAGTGACAAGAATATCTACACAACGGTTACGTATTCACCACGGTGTTGAAAGGTTGCTCCTCATATGGATAAACGAAAAGCAATTGCAAGGCGACACTATTAACGAGAACATCATTTGTGAGAAGGCGAAAATGATTTTCGCCGACCTCGTTAAGAAGACGCCAGGATCATCAACGGCCGAAGAAGAAGCATTTAAGGGAAGCCGTGGGTGGTTCGAGAAGTTTAAGAGAAGAACCGGCATCCACAGCGTTGTAAGGCACGGTGAAGCCGCAAGCTCCGACACAAAGGCAGCTGAGAACTTCATCGGCGACTTCAAGAAGCTCGTAGATTCTGAGGGTTACATGCCGCAACAGGTTTTTAATTGAGACGAGACGGGTCCCTTCTGGAAAAAGATGCCTAAACGAACCTATATAACAGCAGAGGATAATGCATTGCCCGGTCATAAGCCAATGAAAGACCGTCTCACGCTGCTATTTTGTGCCAATGCAAGCGGCGATTAAAAATTAAACCGCTGCTTGTTTGCCATTCAGGAACTCCACGAGCCTTCAAGAAGTGTAAAGTCCAGAAGAGCAGACTAAATGTGATGTGGAGTCCAACAACAAGGCTTTTGTGACACGTGATCATTTTACTGATTGGATCAATGAAGTGTTTGGTCCTTCTGTGAAAAAAATACACGTATTTGCTTGAGATGAATCTGACACTCCATGTCTTGCTTGTTATGGACAACGCTCCTGCCCATCCTCCAGACCTACAAGATGACCTCCTTGAAGAATTTACATTCATCAAGATCAGTTTCTGCCTCCCAACACCACTCCGTTTCTCCAGCCTATGGACCAGCAGGTTATTCTAACTTCAAAAAGCTGTACACTAAAGCACTCTTCGAGCGTTGTTTTGAGGTGGCTGAAGGGACCAATCTCACTCTCAGAGAGTTCTGGAAATATCACTTCCACATCGTTTCCTGCCTCAAGATGAACGAGAAGGCGTGGGAAGGGGTTACCAAGAGAATCCTCACTTCTGCTTGGAAGAAGCTTTGGCCGGAGAGCGTTGTCGAATGTGATTTTGAGGGGTTTGAGATAGTACGTGTGGAGCATGTAATCAACGAGATTATGTCTTTAGCCAAGATAATGGGGCTGGAAGTGGATAACAATGATATCGATGAGCTTGTGGAAGAGCAGAGCCAAGAGCTGACCACCGAAGAGCTTATGGAGTTGCATTATGTTTCACAGCAACAAGTTGTGGAGGAGAGTTTGTCAGAGGAGGAGGAGGAGGAGGAGGAGGAGGTAACAGCAAAGCAACAATCTTATGGCGCAATAAGAGAAATGCTGAAAGCATGGGAAACTGTTGCATCGTACATTGAGAAGCATCACCCTAATAAAGCAGTGGCTATGCGCGCTACAAATTTATTTAATGATAATGCTGTGCCGAATTTTCACCAAATTTTGAAGCGTCGGCAAAATCAAATGTCTCTAGACAGCTTTCTAGTAAAAAGATTTAGATATATATCATAAATAATAAACTAATTATTTTGATTTTTTTTTCTGCAAATCGAATTCGCATTCCAGGTTGGTTCATTCTGCATGGAAGAAAAGATGAAGATGATTCACGCTCCTTAACAATATATATATAATTTTCTTTGAGTAAACGTTATACATAAAATTTTTTGAGTATTTTTTCGGCATGGAACATATTATCGTATTTTACATTAATTTATATGGGAAAAATTGTTTCGCTTAACGAGTGTTTCGCATTACGAGTAAGATTCTGGAAAGAATTGTGCTCGTTAAGTGAGGTTTCATTGTATCTCTTTTATGGCATTTTTTTGTAGAATGCGAAACAATAAAATGGCTGCTGCATGCAATAACTGACTGGAGTTAGATGTCTGAAATTGGGTATTGAGATATATCATAATCATACCTACAAATTCTTTATGTACTGTTGTTACCAGACAACACTGACGAGCTTGGAGAAGCTGCCATGCTTCGTTGTTATATCCGACAAATCTGAGGTAGGCCTACACAAAGTCTGTGCCTAACGAATAAGTTTTCCCAAACAGAAGTCAATAATAATAGATAATAATAACATATAACAAATTTACAAGTTTGAAGAAACATAGAAGCTCTGACTCAATTAGGAAACGAACTTATGGTCATATGATCACGAATACAGACGACTAGTTCATAATTTATTCAGCATTAACAGTGGACTATAAATTTACATTTTAAAAATATTTTAAACACGATTTATTTGACTGGAAGTCTTCTATAGGAGCGTATTCTTTACGAGTTCTCTCGGATGCCTTTTTCTCTAATTTTTATTGAGATGACAGGTTATGGACTGGACCGATTTATGTTTTCGTTATTAAAAGAAACAAGATCTTATTAAGGCCCTATATATTCAAGAGCACGCGCCAAGAAACTCACTGTTAGCGACCCCATAGAAGCGGACATGACCTCCTCGGAGAACCAGTGATGTCCCGCCCTCAGTTTGTGATGCTTGTGGCGGCGATCCTGCAGTTCCAGTCGCAGGTTATGTACTTCTCGGTTTCTTTCCGCAAGAGCCACCTCCAGCTTCTCAGCCTGCAAATTTAGAACCTTTGTATTTGGCTGTTTACTAACTTGTTATTATTTCTTTCATTGGTACTGCAGCCAATACTGACCTAATGTACCAGCCTCAGATGATAGATGAGGATGATTGTGGAGCAATTGGTGGAATAAAGATTGACAAAGGAAACCGAAGTACTCGGAAAAAACCTGCCCCAGTGCCATTTTGTCCACCACAAAATCCACATGACCTGAATTTGGCTCGAACCTGGATCACTGCGTTGGTAAGCAAGCGACTACTCGCTTGAGGTATGGCGCGGCCATTGTATACGGCGGTTAACTGAAAGTACTAAAATTCTGATCTAGCAAAGTTGTCTGAGACCCATCCAACTTCGCAAACAGCTCCTCAAGCAAGTATGCCTTATGGACATATTGTATCTAATCGTCAGTGTATAAGGACTATCAACTGCTTTCCCGTCTTCGAATTTATCCAGTCATCCACCTGCATATGCATCCACCCATGAAGTGAGATGGCGTGTTTGACTCACGTACAGGAGGTACTACATTCGAATCCCAATCGTGGCTGCTGTCTTTCGTAGTGTTCGTCAATAGCAGTACTTCCAATACAATGTCAATACTGGATATTAAATCTGATACAGAAATTCCCTGCTAACCGACGACCCATTAATCTGTGGTTTGGTTAGTCGGCACTTCCACAATATTCCTAAATACCCAAAAAATCGCCGTTCTCCGGTCAATCGACGATCGAAAATGAGCGCTCTCTCTGTCCATATTTATAAGATCAGTCCACTTTGGCCAGCCACTCTGGCAATGTGGTGGTGAGATCACATTTTGCAGCTTTCTGAATGTAATCATTAAAATTAAAATAAAAACTATTCTTTAGACAGACCTAGACTACGGCGAAGGTATTTAGTTGACTTTTTCCGATTCAGACAAGTTGCATAACTAGTCACACTTTCTGCCAGATGTCACTGCTATTCCTGTACAATAATTTCCGGCGTAATATAACGATTTTCCAGATATCTCACTTTCCCTTGTTTACATCTGTAGCGTTAATGTAAACTTGTGCATCGTAAAGTTAACAGTGGGCTGTTTGTTTCGCGAGGGTTATGTTTCCTGCTGCCATATGGGCTCCTGCCATGCCTCAGCACCGGACAGAGTTCACAACCTGACAAGAATTTAAAGAGTGAAAGGACAGTGTTTTGCAGACATCCACATATTATTAAGGTGTGAACTGGGAAGTTTGCAGACAACAAAACCTGAGTCATTAGCAGAAGATCCTCTTAAATTTTTATATGGCCCCCTGGTTTACCACCGCGGCGGCCCATATTCGATCCCGGGGCGGTCAAGTGGGATTTGTGGTGGACAAAGTGGCGCTGGAGCAGGTTTTCTCCGAGTACTTCGGTTTCCCCTGCAAATCTTCATTCCACCAATTGCTTCACAATCACCCTCACCTATCATCTGGGACTGGTACAATAGGCCAGATTTGGCCGCAGTACAAGGGACTTATTCCCACCCCACTAGCATTACACAAGAAAGAGAAAGTAGAGGTATCCCTGTAACAGGCCGTGGAGGCCCATAGCGTTGTGAGATGTTGAGGTTCAAACATTTTCTAGACAATCCTCACAGATGGCCGCAAGGTTGTCAGTCCTACGCGCCAGCCGCCCTTTACCCCCCAAGAATATTCCTGGTACTGATTTCTGTTAGGGGCTCAGTCGACCACAGGGTCATAATGCGGCTGGAAGGATTAGGTCAATTAAAAGAAAACCAAATGACCACATCCGGACCTGAACCTGCGACCTTCCGACTTGAGTATAGTGCCTCAACCAACTACGCTACCGCGTGCCCTGTAGTAGCTCCTGGATATAACGTATATCTCTTGTCTGATTTCATTCTGTTCCCTGTAAGTCGCAAGATACTTTGGCTGCTTTAGGAAACAAGTATGTTCTTATGCAAGAATCGTTTTACTAACCAACAGTTTGGCCTGTAGAAATAAAATTCCAAGAGGCACTCGATGCTCTCCATAATACACCTTACTATGGACTTTAAGCCTTCCTTCGCCGACCAGTTATGCACAGTTGTGACGCATTTTGCCCGCATTCAGGAGACATCCTGTTAGAGTTCGGGCTAGACAAAGACTGTCTTCTCCAGAATTTTACACGAAATTAGTAGAAACCACCAGGTCATGACTGGCGTTTCCCACATCTGTCTCCGTTCTCACTCATGTCATCTTACTCAACTTAAATTCATCAGTTGATACAGCGCTGTAAATAAACGAATAATCTAACAATGCATGCTTTAACTCCTACACTGAATATGAAGACTTCGTATTACCTGTATCTTGATATTAACTTCATCGACTTATTCCAGTAGAATTTGTAATTAATTTTTCTTTTCTTTCATCTTGAATTATTTTTGGTAAGCTCCTTCTTGACCGATGTCCCATCACAATTTATTTATTGAATTTTATATTTATTTACAATCTTAGTCAACCGACCGAGCGACCGCCGCATGTTGGCGAAGTTATTGCCAAATTTAGCGGATAGAGAGTGTCGCGTGGTCAGCGCAACTAATTCCCACGGTCGTAAATTTCGGTTTTCTAGACCGGAACCGCTAATTTTCCATTCAAGTAGCCTCTCATTTATCCTCACGAAGCTGACTGGACCCTGTTCCAGATCCACTACTTCTCAGAAAATCTGGTGGCGCCGGAAATCGAACCCAGGGTCTCTGGGTCTGTAGCCAGGAACTCTGACCACTAGGCCACAGAGTCGGTTGGTATAGTTCACTTGCGGACTAAAGTCATGGATTTTTTATTTGTTTTTGCTTAGCCAAGAGCTCAAAGGCCAATTATAAAGCGAGAATGAGTGGAAGAGGTGAGGATTACAATGGTACCTCCGACTACGTAAATACATAGATATAACACGTGTTCAATCAAACGTTATTTTATACACGTAGGCTTGCATCTTGTAAACACACGCACACCAACATTATTAAGAAATCTAAGTGCGAATTTCTGCAGACTTCATAAAAATATTCGTAAGATGGGGTTTCGTAGAATGAACACCATGCTGTTTAAATCTGCGTTGCTACGTACCAGGTTTAGAAGCTGAGTTGAGAGATCCTGCACTAGGTTCATAGCGTCCATTTGCTGCACGAGGTAGCAGCTCGTGTTCTGCTGCAATGGTTCACTTTGATCGCAGTACGCCATGTCGATGCTTGCCTGCTGAAGCTGCTTCATCTTGCCCACTAAGTTCTGGGCCAGGGCCGCTTGTTGTTCTGAATGATGGGCAAAGGAGTCCTAGAAATGTAAAAAATAAATGTAACTTGTGTATAATGTAAAACCGAACAGGACGATGTGCAGACAATACTCTAGACTTGTATGCGGAAGGTACTCTTATCGAATCTCTTTGGGAATACAATACAAATATTTAGTACTTTTCCTTCTTTACAAATTAGTTCTAAAATAAAGTTGTTCCTGTGCTTAACTAATTAAGTACTACGGCATGAAAGCATATGGTGTAGTGAATGTATAGATCACATTTTATTGACCTCTGCACTAGCTGGAGGTGGTGTTCGGCTTCACGTCTCTGTCGTTTTCTCCAAGGGGAAAGAACCCCCGGTACCCATTAAATAGGATGCTGGGTGGGCTCCAGAGCCGATCTGGACAATATGGAGAAGAGAAAATTCTTACACTACCAGGACTCGAACTCCCACCCCTGGGTCGTCCAGCCCGTAGGCAATCTCTATACTCAGTGCTCTAACCCCTTTCTTTCCTTGGCACTACAGCCCCAGTGGGCCTAGGCCTACCTCCATGAACTTCTCCGTTCACTTCGGGTTTTCTAGATCTTACACATTCCGTAGGACTCCTTGGGCAGGTGATCAGCTCGTCGCAAGGACTATACCTGCACAGAAACACAGAAAAACGCACACACACAAACTAAACTTCAATGCCCTGAGTGGGATTCGAACCCACGATCATTCTCTAATGTTAACGCTTGTGGTCTTAAATTAAATTCAGCATCTTGTTAAATGAGCTCAAATCTTACTGTGTTTTGGCAGTATACTATTCTTCTTTGCAGAACTGTGAATATCCTTACAGGCCTAAAACAAAACAGCTCATTTATTTTATTTCTTATACTTTAAATTATTTTTTACTAATTAAATAATTTATTTAGATATAACACCCATAAAATTTAGTTTACAAACTGAGATAGCAAATATCTTAGCATAATTTACTTCTGTTTATGTTTTCTACTTACTCTCACATTATTTCCACATGTTTAAATTACAATTATTCATCACATAGTCTCGTAATAATTTCCACAAACTTTCCCAGCCCCCAGTGGACTGTTGTGTAACAAATTATTGAACCTCCTCTATCGCTGGAAACAGGAACTTTCTCGAAAAGCTAAGTTCTTAACTTACGACATTAAGCCTCTATACTATGGTGTCATGACTAAATTGTTGAGTGGTTTTGAGTGCCTTCCATTATTTCTAGCAAAATTATGACTTATATGGGTTGTCAGGTTCTTAAGGTCTAAACATGGCACTTGTATGTATTAGGGCTGGGCCACAATCCGGTCCCTGTACCGCCACCTTCACTGATCTATTGTGCTTCCCCTTTAATTAACCCCTTATCAATCCTACACTTTGAACAAAACGCAAGACTTCATTTATGGGGCCGTCATAGTAGTCACTTGGTTCCATAAAGAACTGGCCCAGGTGACGAAAGCTTAAATAAGCTATGACCTCACAATACATAGGATATGTGTGGCTAATTCGTCTTCTTTCAGGCACCTTTCACAAGATGGATCGTCTGTCAGTCCCAGTTTGAAAAGGCGTCCTTTTAGGTGGAAGTTTCCTGTGAACAGTCCTACTATCCATCTGAAACAACATGACACTTAATTTCTCCTGAGATGTGACGTTTGTAGTTGGATAGATAATTACAAATGTTTTGGAAGATCCTGCCGCATCCATCTCCTGAAAAAAAGAGCGCATTCTCAAATATGGAGGCAGTAGATTCTCTTGGAAACCTGCTAAATCTTTACCTTACCACGCAGTGTCGCATCACAGACAACAGTAACCTACGATTCCTATATTATTAACTGTTTTTCATGTGATTTATCTGTGAAAAGATATTTGTTAGATTCGTGTCTAAATGTTGTATTCTCTGTTTAGGTCAATACAGTATGTACTAACCAAGAAAAATTCTTGTTCAAACGTAGAAAATTTAGAAGAAAATTATCCGCGTGATGATTTCATCGTTCTGTTTTATTTCGCTGAAAGCAGGGCTGTTTATTCGTTCCAGTCCCTACAGGAACAGTAATCAGTTCTTTGAATTTACCACTGCTAAAACATAAATTACTGAAACATTCGTCTCCGGGTTTTGATATATAGAGGAAACAGTTTGCCAGCTGTTTTTTCTCATGATGTTAGTCACTTGCAAATGTTTTATACACCAGCCATAAAGACAGCCATGTCTGCGAGGACTGTGTGTACGAATAGCAGTAAAATTGCGGTAAAGAAAATTTTGAAGGATATGCTTCCTCTTTTTCTAAATGCCTTGAGTAATTTTTCTAGTCTCATTCCGAAACAAAATTTGTGCTCTGAAAATGGTGTATATTTATAGATGTGACATATGTCGTTACTACACAAAGTATTAATATCTATTCTTATACTTCACACGTGCTGATAACTCATCAATCGTATAATCGCTTTCACTGATCGCCCAAATATCAACACACCACCTGCATATGCTAAATGTTTTCTTGTTTTGTCACAAATTGCTTCATTAGAATCAGTTTCAATTTATTGCTTTATTCAAAATATTATGAAACAGAACTGGAAAATTCACTGCCTTGTCTAAGGCCCCTTATCACCTTAAACTTGTTTCCAGTTATCCATGAATTTTAACCTGCATTTCTAGTCTACGGCAGTCATTTTCACTTGATGAACAAATTTATTAGGCACACAAAATTTCCTTAAAATGTGGCATAGATTTTCTCTATTCACCGTATTAAAAGCTTGCATAAAATTAATGAATAATCGATATAAATTAGTTCCAAATGCAGAGGCATATTGTCATTCTGAATGGAAACAGGTGATCAGTGATTATACATTCTCTTATAAACTCACGTTGGCAATCTTCTAAATTTTTTCTTTTACGAAGAACCAAGCGTTTATATAATATTGGAGTCAAATTTTCATAACTTACATTTAATAATGATATTATTCTATAGGTACTACAATGTAATTTATTATATTCTCCATAAATCTGGGGATATAATTTCCGTGCATATTTCTTTAAGCATAATTTCTCTTAATCATTCTATTTCCATTAATATACATCTACTTTTACAATTCCAGACTCCCATATTTGATTAATTCATAATTAATATTTTTACTGGTGGTTTATAATTTTTAAATCCTCATAGCAACAAGAATCCAATCCCTTGTGTGTACTTCAGTACATAATTCAGGCCAGGGATACTACATTTTTTCCTTTATCTGTGTTTCACAATATCTTTCCCGTCTGTCAACACTGTGGAACTGTCACAAGAACGGCCCTCCTGTCAACGAGAAGAAAACACTCACCAAGATTTCTCTCTGGTAGCATGGTTTAAAACATGAGTTTTCTCTCAAACACTGGGATTATGGTTTAATATCTCAATAGAGGCAGTAACATATTGTGACATGTTGACCCCTACCTCCCCAGCTGCACGTAGCTGTAACGTAACGCTTGCGTAACAGGCGAGTAATCACCCCGCGTCATGGTAGCTATGCAACGCGCGGTGACGTCACGAGCGGAGCCGAAGAGAGCCGAGCGGAGCCGAATATAGCCGAGCCCCCGTAACCTGGTAACTATTCAATGCGAGTCAACAGCGCTGACGTAACAGGATGACGTGGCACTCATTACGCAACAAGCAAGCACTGCAGCTATATAAGTGAGCTGCACAGCGGCTGCGAGTTCAGTTGTACTGTGACAGTCAGTGAGTCCAGGAGCTACCTACGAGTCAGTCCTCGAGCTACGTTAATTCCGAGTTAGCCAGCAACCAGTCAGTTGTATTGTGGCATTTGGAGTGTAATATTTGTGATACTGCAGATAGTAGTAATCGTAAATCTGTAATTTGGGTGATTGTGAGAGCGAATGTGAAATAAAATTCGCGATATAAAATACGGCGTGAAGTTATTTGTCGCGATATACGCCCGATACGCGACAATATGTTCACGCGTGTCTTGTGTTGTCTAGTTTTAGTAATGGCCTACAAATGAGGCTACTCTCCTCCAAGGTGTATCGATACTAGACGAGTCTCCTCCTCCTCCTCCTCCATGGTTTTAAAGCTCTTTGGACCTTGGCCGCTTTTTCAGATTCTTAATCCTATACCCAGTCAGTAGGACACCTTGGACGGGGGATCAGCCCTTTCGCAAGGCCGTTACCTATACACAGGGCAACACAAAGAGAATGAACGCACATAGACATCTATTTCTCGAGTGGTATTCGAACCCACGACATCAGTGTTCCGAGCGGACGAAGACGGTTCATGTCTTAGACCGCCCGGCCACTGTGATCGGCCTAGACGACTGTACCTAAGGATTAATATAATAATTACACATATTTTTCTCAGCTGGATCAGACCAGAGGACTTAATGTATCAAAACTGAAAGTGAAAAATATTTTTCTGTTGGTTGTGTCAGTGAAAATTACCTCCGTCTAGTTCTGAAGTTAAGAATGATGGCGCTATACCTCCACGCTCCATACGTCTTTAGGGGATAACGCTTGATTAAATATGTACGTGGGTAAATTTACATTTACCAAACTACCACTGGAAGTTGTGCAGTACACATATTGAAAGCATCGCAAAGCAACACCCAACAACAACAACAACAACAACAACAACAACAACAACAACAACAACAGAAATGTTAACATCAGGCAATTGAATCGACCACTTACCTCGACTTACCTTCTTTAGAAGATAGTACAAATGAATCTTCTGTGAAGATTATTAAAATTGAATAGCTCCCATTTACTCGTGAGCAAGAATAAATACACAGACAATGTAACTAAAACAAAGCCGATCACAGTGGCCGCACGATCTAAAGTATAAACTATCTTCTCTCGCTTGAACGCTGAGTTCGAATCCCACTCTAGGGACGGAGGTCTGTGTCCGTTAATTCTGTGTTTATGCTGTTCTGTGTGTAGGTAGTTGCCTAGCGGCCACCTAATCCTCGTCCAAAGAGTCCTAGAGACTATGTATAGGATTATGAAATTTAAAAAATCGGCCAGGGCCCAACAAAGAACTGTTGAGCCACTGATTATTAAAAAGTGAACTAAAACGAAACACTTCTCATAGGTACTAAAGGCGACTACTTCTTGGCTGTCAGCCGGAAAAATATGGAGATGAGGTGAAAGGGAGGGGGAGGCAGGCAGAAACATGCCGTGAAGAATTCCATTTTCTGGGATGTGGCGCCGTGTAGATCTTGTGTGAACTGTCGTTCCTCCGAAACGTCAGTTCACACAAAATGTACAGCGCCACATCCTAGAAGACGGCATTCTTCGTAGTCATGTCTATGAAAACCCCAAATCTTACAAAGAAACGTACTACTAATTGTAAGGACTTCGTAAAATCATAGATGGAATGAAGTAAAAAAAGAGATTAGAGTGCGAAGAAGATGTAGCACATGAAAATTCAGGAGCCGGAAAAATAAAATCGTAGAGGTTGAAGCATTGATATCGTGGGAAATATAATAACAAACGATGAAGCCGAGACGTACGGACGGGAGACATGTTGAAGTACAACGAATAACGGGGGAATTTACGTATACTCCTATATGACATGTCTTACGCCTTCCAGAAAATTGTTCATGTCTGGCTTTCTGGGCCATTTCATCCCGTTGTTTAATCGGAGTTGCAATAGTGTTGTATCAGTGCACATATGTTGCTTCCAACATAGTTACCATTAGCGTTCATGTAAACAAATGGGTGCCCACTCACTCATGGTCTGTCTGTCACTATTAGCTTCCGCAGAGAAAAATAAAAACCGAATGCGACTTAAAATAACTTGGGCATTTTGTCAGTGCTTGAACAGAGTTAGGCGTTGTTAGCAGATCTACGCTTCAAGAAAACACAACAGTACGTTGACTTCTCTTTAGTTCTTCCGGATTTCTTATTACTCTCAGGAGTAGAAATTTACTGCACCTAGGGTTTATTTTAGCCTGTCGAAAGTTACGTAACTGATAAAATTAATTTCTTCCTAAATTGTTTTTCTAAACGAAAAGTAAAGATAACATAAGAAATTTAATGTAGGTACCAAGACAACATCTGTCTTTGCGGGTTTTGTGGCACGTTTTGTAACCGAATCTCCTAAGAATTCTTATTTAAATAATCAATGCACAATTCATTGTAAATACGTTCTCAGTTCCGTTGCGTTTGGCATAAGCAAGAAGTTTCGGGGGGTCACGCTTTCATGTTACTGGGTTTACACACCAACCGCTAGGCCGTGCCATAGCTCAGGCGGTTAGCAGCAGGCTTCCTACTGCGGCGGTCCGTCTTCAAACCAGGTCAGGTCATATGCGATTTGTGGTGGACATAGTGACACTAGGACGGGTTTTCTTCGAGTACTTCAGTTTCCCCTGCCAATTCTTATTCCACTGACTGCTCCACACTCATCATCTATCATCAGGGGCTGGTAAAATATGCCAGTTTTTGGGAGACGTGGCAAGTAGACTCAGTCTCACCCCACCCCAAGAAACTAAAAATACTACCACCCATTAAGACTGTGATCTCCAGAAATAAATAAAACTTTGTCGCTATCGATAGAGACCTTTCTAAGAAAATTGCCGCTTGATGGTGATAACATGAAGCGCAAGACAGGAATTTGGAATAGGCCCTATATTCCAAGACACGCTTCCCAAATGAAGAGGTTGGGGTATATTTGCCCTTGCAGTAGTTTCATTATACGAAATATGTACTTTTTTATATTACATAGTCTGTGAGGAAATAAATTGTTACAGCATACAAAGTCTAAAATAACCCACGCCGGTCCACGAACAATCACATAGCAAGATATAATTTCATGATCCCATTCAAATTGTAGCACACTGCGGACGCATAATGACCGATCACAGTGGCCGCATAATCTAAGGCATGAACTGTCTTCACCCGCTCAAACACTGGGGTCGTGAGTTCGAATTCCCCCTGTCTCCGTGTTCGTATTGTCATGTGCAGGTAGCGGCCTTGCGACGGCCTGACTTCCCGTCCAAGGAGTCCTACCTACTGCCTATAAGATTAAGAATCTGAAGTGAAACGAAACGTTTCACAGATCCGCTATTCTCCAGAGGTAGCAACAGGAGATATGATGATATGACGATAAGATGGATGAGTATGGAGCGGACGAAGGAGCAGAAGAGAAACAAGGGCAGGAAAAATGTGCATGTAGTTCATAATGACGCGACGGCCCAAAAATGTGAAATTACACATAAAATTATAATCTGAGGAACGTTTGCCATTGCTTCAACCACACTCCAATGTACTTCCTCGGCCCTCATCCAAGAGGAAGCCAGCAAGAAGCAGCAAGCTTACTGCTTATTTGGCTAATATTTTTACATTGAAGATGGAGACCGTGATTTCCTTCGAAACTTCTTTAAACTTCTACCACACTACATGACGTCACTCCCAGAATATAATGCTCTTCAAAAAGAGCTACGTTTATATTCAGACCTCTTCTTGTTATAATCCCCAAGTTATAGTTTACTTCAAACTAGTTAATTCTTGTTGCTTCCAATGGCTCCTAAATTTAGAGAAAAATGGCATGTTTGATATCATAGTTGTAATTTCAAAACCGAATTAAGGAATGTCTGTTTTGATAACTATAAACAGAGATAAGATAAGATAAGGCCTTAACAATTATTTTGCCGTCAATATATCTGTATGCTAATATTGCACAGTAGAGCAGTCAGTGGTAAAGGGCTTAATTGTTACAGATTTTCCGGTGATGACCATTGGTTGACTTGATTATGAGTCTTCAGTATCCAGTACTGCTGATTTAGTTGTTCTTACATAAATATAAAGCCGCGATCCCACCTGCGGTGATTTCCCCTCTAGCAGAAGCCAACCCTGCCATTGCTTCGGATTTGTTATTCGGGAATGTGTTGATTAGTTAATCAATGCATCATCCAGTGGACCCACATGTAGAGTCTCTTCTTCTCACAGAAGCCAATCCTGTCTTTGTTTCAGCTGTGTTATTCGGGAATTAGTTAATTAGTTAGTTTGGTTTGTTCCATTCTGGTCAGTCACACTAACAATATTATAATTAGTTAGTCATTGGATTATCCACAAGCTTGTCGCATTTGGCGCACCTGTAATGTTTCCCCCTCTCGCAGAAGCCAATCCTGGCGCTGCTCCAGGTCTCTGATTCGAGCCCTCAACTCGGCCACCAGTTCCTCCTGAGGGCCATCCAACGAGTCGCTTGCCACTTTCTCTCCTGGTGTGACACAGACATTTACGTGTATATTACTCGCTCAGTTTAACCTTATGATCCTCAGTGCAGCTATCGTAGAACAAAATATTATAATGTCTCGCACAAACCGTCGGCCAACCTAAGGGTTTTATTCCTTCAAGAAGGCGTCTTCAGAAAGGAAATACTGAGAAACAGATATTCAAGAAATGCGTCAGCCCTGCAGAAATACAGTGACAGCTAACAGAACGACATTTTATAACCAAAGACGTAAGGGTAAATGGAAAAAATAACAATAATTAAACAGCGATATATCGAATGTTATTTATACAGGACTCTGGGTATATTCCCACACTTTACCTCAAGTTAGCCAAAACCAGTAGCAAGAATAAATACATCTGCCTGAAACATGTTGAGAAATTATAGGTCACACTGGTATTTCGTAGGGTTTCCTATAGTAATTTCACATGAAAAGTGTAAACAATTAAAATTATACATATTGCACTCAATTTTATAATAAATATTAAAATCAAGCATAGAATTCTTAAAATTTAAATACTTATATACGAGAACATAGTTCCTATCACAGTGGCCGCCCGTTCTAAGACATGAAATTTCTTCGCCCGCTCAAAAACTTGGGTCGTGGGTTCGAATCCCATTTGAGGAATGCATGTATGTGTGCGCTTATCCTGTATTTGTGTTGTTCTGTGTGTAGGTAGTGACCTCGCGACGGTCTGATCCTCTGTCCAAGGAATCATATCGACTCTGTATAGATTAAGAAACTGAAAAAGGGGCCAAGCTCCACAAGGGCTGCAGAGCCATAGATAGATTCTCGTAACCCTCTTCTTTTCTACCTTAAGATGGAAACAACGCCTTAGCTGATACAAACCCTCTTCTCTAGTTTAAACGGAATCCCTCATTCTACCCCAACTCGAAACCCTCGGGTGATATGTTGGTTATGTTACGTCTTGGTTCCACCGGGTTACAGCAGGATTGGCGCGTAAGGCCTTGAAGTGTTAGTACAGCAGTCTGAGGATTACGCTGTTCCTGTGTAAACATGGGTCTCCGAGCCGCACGCACTGCCTCGTCGGGCAAGCGGAGTGGAAAAATAATTTGTTTTCAGTACACCCGTTCTTCTCTAGCTTGTCTCTTGAAATACCAACGTACTTATTTATAAAATTAACACGACGTCATGAAGACGTACGGGGAGTGGAGGTATAGCTCCACCTTTGTTGACTTAGGCACTTTATCATAAGAAAAGAGTCCCCGGAAATCATTGGACTGGAGGTTGGTGGGTTCCAAAGTCGGTCTGGATGCTGAGGAATGTAACAAAAATCTCTTACTCATGCCGGGAGTGGAACTCTGGCCTTCCAGCCCGTAGGCCGTCACTATACCGGCCGACTTTCCCAGCGTGGCGAATTTATTTACAGCATTTTGAAATTCGTATTTACTAACGCGTAAACTTACATAAACATCCTTTTTTATTATAAACAAATTTTTAAACCTTAAACAGTCATCAACAGGTAACGTAAGAAATCGGCCAAATTTTTTAATATGGGCTTATACTATATCAGTTTTGATAAAATAATAATGATTATCTCGAATCTCCGCTACTTTACAAGGACATGAGTGTAAAAATTGACAACATAAATGTCCTCCAACACCTGTGAGTTCATTTCATGTTTGTGCAGTTAGGTACTTGTTTCATCTGTCACCTCACGTGCTTGTGTTGTAATATACTCTTACTTTTCTGCGCATGTTTGTTCTTGACCAGTCCAAATTGAACGAGAACTTCACGCTGAAGTAAATTTCTTTCTGGTTGCTCGTAGTAGTCATCCCTGTGTCTTCTTTATCTGATCGATACTAAATGATGAGGTTAGGTAAAGTTGTTCCTGTGCTTAACTAATATAACACTACGTCATAAGGACTTATGCGGGAGTGAATGTATAGATCCACATTTTCTTAACCTCTGTACTAGCTGAAGGTGAGTGGTCAGCTTCACGCCTCTGCCGCTTTACCTCTGGGGAAAAGTCCCCTGTATACATTGGATAGGAGTCTGGGTGACCCACAGAACCGGTCTGGACAACTTGGAGAAGAGAAAATTTCTTGACCGTATCGGGACTCGAACTCTGACCCATGGTCGTCCAGACCGTAGCCAGTCGTTAATTCATGCATTAAATATTCGTCTTTGGGGAAAGAGCCTAAGTGCTGACATGGTGAAATATGTATCCTCGAAAACAAAGATCTGCTTAAAAAAATCATAATTGTGTTCTTCTTTAACAATAGATTTAACTTTGTGCTCTAATTTTTTTTCCATTGGCGCTAAAGCCCCAATTTGGGCCTAGGCCTACATCCATGAAACTCTCTGTTTCACTTCGGTTTTACTAGATCTAAGACATACGGTAGGACTCCTTGGGCGGGTGATCAGCTCGTCGCAAGGCTTCTACCTGTACACAAACACAGAAAAACGCACACAGACATCCATGCCCTGAGTGGGATTCGAACCCACGATCTCGGCTTCCGAGCGAGCGAAAACAGTGCATGCCTTAGACCGCTCGGCTACCGTGACCGGCTTTGTGCTCTAATAGCAGCTATAATTTGTCCACACTTCATTCTTTCTGAATGTTAAGCCCATTCCTGTCTATAGGCTAATTGATTGATGTCCCTTCTGAAGAATATAATCGTACAAGCAGACCTAGGACTGTGCGAGGCATGGTGCCTCGTTTAATCCAGTTCCATTTAACTGTATTTTTCTGACTGAACAGAAACTCGCTTAAACTGAATTTACTAATTACCCATTACTTACATAATTGTTTCTATGTTGGCCTCATTCATACCATTTCTATTTTCAACAGAATTTTTGTTGAATTGGTGCGCGAAATATCAGAAATATACCTTTAAATAAAAATCAGATAAATTTTTCTTGGGCAAAAATTTATATATACTCAAGACTAAATAAAAAATCACACATATTTATTGGATTTTTAAGTTTTTATTGAAATAATGTTGTTTATTTCTCAGTCTAACTTAGGAAAGCACACGGACAGAGAACTATAGGCCCTTTCCCATTGTTCAGATGCGAAAGCTCCAACTTTTATTACTAGTTTTCCATTTCTTTCTCTCTCTCTCTCATTTTCTCTCTCTCTCTCTCTCTGAGACCCACACAGCCATTTGTAACATTTCGTGTTATGGTTATTAACAGAATCTCATAATTCGATAACAATTTCAACAATAACTGGAAGGGAGAAGATTCATTCCGTCGCGAAATCGAAAATGGCGTACCTAAATGTGTTAATCCACATTTTTGGATTATCGCAATGAGTCACATCTTCCCTAACTCAATATAATTTTATATAATATTGTCTCGGAGAGTTGTGCCCAAATGTTATGAATTATTGTCGTTCATCCGGGAAATAAACCAGAACAGAAGGAAAGGGCGTTTAAAAGAAAGCCCAAATACCGTAATACTTCGAATATAAGACGCCCTCGAATTTAAGACGCATCCAATTTTTGAATGTGGGTTTTAGAAAAAATGAGAAAGAGGCACATCACTCGAATTTCAGACGTACCTTAATTTTTCAACGGGTAAAAAAATGTGTATAATGTGCGTCCTATATTCTCAGCAATACGGTATACACAGATCTCCTTCGATATGTTATAATAAAGGTTATAGCTTTAACTATTGAGGTTTAGTACAATTATTGACTTTTTATTAATTATTCATTGTCATATTTTTATTTAATAATAAGTCTTGGAGTCTGGACTCGGTCTCAGAACGGTTGTCATTAAATTGTAAATAAAACAGGGCGATGGATAATATCCAAAAAGTCAATAATTCCATTAATATACCATCTTCACGAACTTGTATACTTTATTGACTTTAATTACCTTCACTGTGAACATGTAGATCAGTTTCCTCGCGTCTGAGCCTTTCTGTAACAAAAGGAAAGAATATGAACTGTTGTGTGTTGCCTATGTAACGCGATAAATAAATACACGCTGGTCTCGGATTTCGCTAAGACGTTTATTGGACAGTCTCTTCCACACTCGCAAGTATAATTATTCGCAACTTCACTATCATAATTTTTTTAATTCGCTTAGAGGGGGTTGGAGTCCAACGGGGTCCACTCGGCAAGGAGGCAACTGATTGGCCTATTTTATTTGTTCCGGGTGATTATGATGATGGAGAATTTGGTGGAATGAACATTGGCAGGGGAAACCGAAGTACTCGGAGATAACCCCACCCAGCGCCACTTTGTCCACCACAAATCCCACTTGACCAGACCCGGGATCGAACCCGGGCCGCCGCGGTGGGAAGCCAGCAACTAACCGCTTGAGCCATGGCGCGGCCTGCACTATCACAGTTACTGGTACCTCTGATCTTGGTGAAGTCTTCTGTCTTTCGCCGGATGCGAGCTGGCTTCTGCTCTAGTCAGAGCTACACTAAAAACTGACTGGTCTCTTCGAAGCTGAACTTTTATAACGTGCATTAGGACTGACTAGAGAACATCGTGTTCAAAGGTTCCGTTTTATCCGCTGGTAGTATTCGTTTCCGTGGATATCCTTCCATTTCCGGGGAACCTATTTATTGTTTGGACGATTCCTATGCAGCGGTCTGCTGGTATTGCGTTTCCACTGAAGTATACATTCTTATCACAGCCGTTGCCTATCAATGGGCGTCTTATGGTCCTACTTTTTGGCGGCACACCACCATACGTATATAGTTTTTTGTAATAAACATTGGTTTTATGTCTCACATCACTCTAGTATAAATTTACATAGAAAACTGACGAGTATTCTAGTAAGACGAAGAATATATAATGTTGTTATTCGTCGATGTAAATTTTATTTAAGCATTTTATTTCAAGCAATGTGTAATACTTACGTAATTCCTGTTTGTGTGTTTTGGCAACATCATCAATCTTTCCTTCCAAATTCTCAATCTCGCTTTCCAGTTTCCTGGAAATTAAGCAAACTTATATAATATATATAATTACTTCCAGCACTTACGGTCACTGTGAGGTTAATGAACAAAAGTTTGATTTCAGGTGTAGAAATTTACAATATTGTGTCCCTAGGTAATATTTATTTCTTCTCTAAGATTCAAATATGGTAAAAATAGTTTTTTCGTGTGCTTCCACAAATCTTCTGTTATTTTTTTGTCATTTTAAATGTACCTACTCGATTTAAACAGCCTTAATAACTGACACAAGAGTTAATATTCAATTGCTAAAAATTATTAAGGCATTGGAAGTGAAATATGACAAATAAAAAATACACACTAATGTAAACTCATATCATGGCGCTAGTCTCGACCTTGTGTTCTATGAATAAGTCAGACTGTTCCAGAAAAACAACCACAAAATTTTTAATAACCTCCCATCCAGTCAGTTCTGTCAGATTATAACAATAATAAATTACTTGTACGAGTATAAAATATAATTAGATTCCTTCTGATATGTATAAATGGTTCCAGTTCTTCTAAATCATCGGATACCCTCTACCAATTTGAAACATATATTTCAGTTCACTGTGTTGTAATGTAGAGCGGGGAAAGACTGAGTCACCTTCAACTGCGACATAAATTTGTACCACAGAACCACGATGTAAGTGTAGAAACATGTGAGAAAATGTTCAAGTAATTGATCTTGGTGTAATTTCGGTGATTTACTTAATTACATGAGCAATTAATGTCATTATAGCCGGGCAGAAAAAGTGACATTATTAACTATGAAGTATTCCTTCATAATCTTCAACAATAAAAATATTTACATTCAAGATAAAATGCATACAATAACCTTCAGAGTTGTAAGTAAGGAAAGTATATTCAAGGCAGAAGTCATAACATACACGTATACCACCTTCCTCGGTTTCTGATGGAATACAAGTGTAGAAAATCAGGGTGTTCAGATGTCTATCTAATATTAGCAAAAGTACAAGCGTTGGCTTTCTTTCCTCCCCACTTTTATCTTCCTTTATTTCTAATCATGCTTGTATTGCCCGCCCTTGTCTTAAGGAAAAAATAGCTAACTTGCTTTCTTCTGGAGTAACATCCAACCCGAAGCATTGAAAAGGCCCGTCCCTTTCAGGAATGAAGCACGCCTGCTCTCTAGGTATATATGTAAATACAAGGCCTCATATTAATGTGGCATATTTGCTCAAAGCAAGAACTGTGAAGGCAGAGAAACAGCCGTTGTAAGGTAACGCCTGCACGGAACAATAGAGGAGGTGATGCGAGATGTGGCGCGTACAGCCGTTGTTATGGAACAATTGAGTAAACGCGTTTCCGCGTATAAAAATGTATGGAACAGTAGGATATATGTGTTCTCTGAGCGGTCCGTGCCGAGGTTTATAAAAAGGACTACAAAAGTCGTTTATGTCAGTTAAGTTTCGAGGCGCAAGCCTGCCAGGATATGAGCTTGGGAGCAGAGGGATTCAGAGAGTCACCGAAGTCGGCAGTTGGCAGAATAATTGAGAAGAAATATCAATGAAGGAATTACGCTGTGCAAAGACGACTTCATAGTGTGCTGCAGTTACAGTGAGACTGTTAGGAATCCGTTGCCAGGATATGACTAGTGAAAACTAAAGACACTACTGTGTGTAACAGTGAACTGTAAAGTGTAGAAATAGCGATAGGATTGTAATTAATTCTAGTTACGAGATGAGTGTATAAGGGTCAATAAATACCAAAATACCAAATAAATCCAAAACCCGTCTATAATTCACGCACACCGCCTACACGTGACAAACTGGTGTCAGTAGATAGATAAATCTGGACTGCAGAATCTCGGACAGTGCCTTCGGTGCCGCATAATTCATGTATAATTTCCTTGTGCTAATGATTTCCTGCAAATAAATGAGTTATTAGTTCGATGAGAATTTTTCTTAAAGAGAAGAGAAGAGGCCAAGTGCGAAGTACTGCCTTTCTTCTTTGTTTGAAACCATCAGCACTTAACACCTCAACGCTGCGGAAGGTGAGCCCTTCCTAAAGGAATAAGGAGTGTTTGAATCCGAAGGTTCGTAACAGAGGACAGCCCTGTAAAGTCTGTCTTGTTTGCTCAATGGCTTATTTAATTTTACTTTTGCAAGTACAAGGGGCAGAATTGTTATGAACTTTGAGAGTAGATGGATTATGAAAGAAGTGATCTTTGTTGCTCTCAGGTACTATCACAACATAATTTGCCTGATTGAGTAATCATGTACTCACACACACACACACATTTTATAGGAAGAGCTGCGTCGTCAACCGAGAAAACCCGTCACACGAAGCATAAATGGTAACTTATACATAGCGAGGGATGTCGTCACGTATTGTTACGATCAAGAAAACACCAACCTGCAAATGTCCTCCTTCAGTTTCAGCTTGTTTAGGAGGTTTATATTCTCCTCCAGTAGCTTGTAACTGGATTCCGTGCGGACGGAGTCATTCCTTTGCACCATATTGGCAGAGTCACGTTCGCTGTCGCTGGAACATAAATGCAGCACTTCACCCTCTGTTGCAGCCGAACTTACCACCCCTATCAAGAAAACTCACCCTTACACATATTCCTTAAAACTGAGTTCTCCATACCCAAATTTAACATTACAATATTCTCTCACATTATTTCTGGCCGTTTTCCATAAGAATTCTAACCAAAATTCTAATCCTATTTATTGGTTTCCAATCCTAGATATACGTATGTTCAACTCATCAGTAAAAGATTTTGATATAAAATTATTAACGTTCACATTACACAATATCTAAAATCCTTCTTTACTTCACCTATCTTGAACTAAATATTTTAATTTGACCTTTTCCAATTGTCCGTAACTGTGATAACACCTCACAGCAAAATAAAAGATGGGCAAAATAAAGATAGAATTCTCTTCGAACCTCAGTTTTCATTGTTTTGTAATGCAGAATGTTTAAGAAACTGGAATATTTCCGTTAATAAAGTAACGGGCTATAGAATAAACAACCGAGGTTTGATACCCAAAAGGAGCAAGAAAATTACTTCGATCTTATTCAAACAGACTGTAAAAACCACTCAGCTTCCTGTAAAATGGATGCCAGGGGATCGTTTCTCGAAAGCAAGTTGACTAAATAGGGAAAACTAATAGCTGTCAAAAACGTACCAAGGAAAGCATGAACGTATATTTTCTGCAAACTTCTACAGAGTAATTACCTCCCGTTTGCCTACCTCTCCCCCCCCCCAAAAAACTCAAAACAGCTGACGCTTGTGCAGGGACATTCGTTGCGTCTACAGACTTCATCTCTCTGCGCCCCCAGCTTTCTGTTGGTGAAATGTGCAGTGTACGTAGGTCGAGGAAGTAGACGACTGACGCTAACCCCTACTACTAGGGTATAGCGTAGAGATTTATAAATAGGGTTCCATGAACATTAGGGTGCTTTCTGTACCACATACCTGCCGTGTTAGTTCTTTCCCTCACACCAATATACACGTAGTGAAGAGATTAAGATGTCGGTTTCCGTTAAAGACGTATTTTGTGAAGAATGCCGTCTTCTGGGATGTAGTGCAGTGTAGATCTTGTATGAAGCGACGTTTCGGAGGAACGTATCGCCTCCATCTTCAGGGTAGAAGAAAAAATATATAAGAATCTGCAAGCAAAGAGACCGTGAGAACCGGTAAAAGCAGACTTACGTTCCTCCGAAACGTCGCTTCATACAAGATCTACACTGCACTACATCCCAGAAGACGGCATTCTTCATAGTCAGCACCGTGAAAACCTCAAATCTTACATTTAATTTGTGATTTGAATTCTGTAAGCCTACTTAGCGTTGTAAGATTTGAGGCTTTCACGGCGGTGACTATGAAGAAAGCAGTCTTCTGGGATTTGGCACCGTGTATATGTGGTGTTAACCGACGTTTCGGAGGAACGTATCGCCTCCATCTTCAGGGTAGAAGAAAAAATATATAAGAATCTGCAAGCAAAGAGACCGTGAGAACCGGTAAAAGCAGACTTACGTTCCTCCGAAACGTCGGTTAACACCACATACACACGGTGCCAAATCCCAGAAGAGTGCTTTCTTCTACTTAGCGTTGTTAAGCGAATGCCATATTGATTCGTATGTCCACATTTATAACTGAGAATGATGTCAATTGAAATATATAAAAGCACATAGAACTCAGGTGAAAATTCTGAGTACCTGTATCTCAAAATGAAGCACTCTTGTTCATACGTATATCAGCGGCTATCGTTAGTATGGGTTACTGTCGTTGTAGTCATGATCAGAACTTGCAAATGAAACACTAAATCGGCTTAGATTTTTCGATACTTTCGAGACTTTTAATAGACTTTCAGCTTTTCATATTATTTTCTCAGTCATATTAATCCTTCCTTGGGATTTACAGACCTTCCGCTAGAATCTATGAGTCTTGTCACTTCTTCGGGAGCATAACAATAAACTGGTGTTTGACTCAGGACCACTGGAGTAACCGGTAGAGGAGCTGCTGTTTCCTCAATGACATCTTCCACATCGACGATGACGGCCGCCGGTTCGTCGTCTTCTGGACCATCGGTAGTCCTCAGACGTGGTTCAGAAGCCGCGCGCGAATCTGAAAGAAAACGATACAGCCATTAGAACTTACAAAAAATTAATTTTATGTCACATAAAAGGTCAAGTTGTCCCTATGCTTAATCAGTTGAGCACTACACCGTGAAGGTATACAAGGGAGTGGATGTATATATTTACATTTTCTTGACCTCGGCGCTATGTGGGGGTGAGTGGTCAACTTCACGCCCCGACTGCTTTACCCCCAGAGAAACAGGCCCCGGTACCTACTGGATAGGAGGTTGTGTGGACCAAAGGGCCGATCTGGACGAAGTGGAGAAGAGAAAATTCTTGACCCTACCGGGACTCGAACTCCGACCACTCAGTCGGAGAAAGCAACTACAACAAATCTGTGGTTTATAGTTTCGCCGTCTATGAAAGTTTCATTTATATTGGCTCTCATTTGTATATTGTTGAATCTGGGGTTCTCACAGCGGTGGCTATGAAGAGCTCTGTCTTCTGGGATATAGCGCTGTGTAGGATCCGAGCTTCTCACAGCGGTGGCTATGAAGAGCTCTGTCTTCTGGGATATAGCGCTGTGTAGGATCTGAGGTTCTCACAGCGGTGGTTATGAAGAATTCTGTCTTCTGGGATATAGCGCTGTGTAGGATCTGAGGTTCTCACAGCGGTGGTTATGAAGAGTTCTGTCTTCTGGGACAAAAAACTGTATAATACGTTGAAAGTTAACCCATGTTCTGGGGGAAAATGTCGCCAGCATCTTCAGGGTCGAAGAATAAGCCGAGCAAGATATCAGCAAAGAAACAGATAGAAAATAGAGCTCTTGTGTAAACTTCGCAAGGAACATTGATCCGTGGCAGTAGTTGGTTAAGTGAAGTAAAGTAAAGTACAAGTATCCCTGTAATAGGCCGTGGAGGCCCATAGGGTTGTGAGATGTTGAGGTTCCCATATTTTCTAGACGATCTTCTCATAGATGGCGGCAAGTTTGTCAGCTCTACGCGCCGGCCACCCTTTACCCCAAGAATATTCCTGGGACTCATTTCTGTTAGAGGCGGAGTTGACCCCATGACCATAGTGCAACTGGAAGGATTAGGTCAATTGAAAAAATCCAGTGACCTCATTGGCACTTGAACCCACGACCTTCAGGCTTGTAGCATAGTGCCTCAAACAACTACGTTACCGCGTGCGGCAGTAGTTGGTTACTTCACTAAAATACAAACGCTAACAGATTACAGTAAAAAATAATATTACGTTACACCAACATAACATAGATATAAATGTTGTTATATGAAACAATTATTTTAGAACAGGCAGTTGGTAACTCACGAGGACTTCAAGATGGAGTAAATTCTGCACTCAGGTAAAGAGTAGTATGAATATCCATTACATTGAGTCCTTTTGACCACTGAAAAGCACAACAGAACGCTGCTCTGCTCCTGAAGCACGATTGCCATTTTGACTACTAAAACCAACATCTTAATATGAGCATGCGCGTCTGCTACCTAGACTGTCATGAAGCTGGACTGTGCTCCTACCTAGCGATACACATAGAAACCTATTACATCAATTACAGCCGTTCTTTTCCATTTGCTATTGCTACCCAATACCTATACTTTTTAATCCTTTTCACTTATCTTTTCCAAGTTACACTGATACTACACGTCCTACACCTATGTTGTATTCCATTTGGCCACAAGATCATAATTTAATCTACGTAAAAACATTTACAAGAACAATCTTGTAAACACTGGCCAATGTACAGCTACAGCAACAAGCAAATAATGGGTGTACTAGATGCCTGAGGATGATCTCTAATTCAAAAGATGTACTAAACAAATATATAATTATTTATTATTATATATTGTGTCGACGAAAATCCTCGCAATTGTATAATAACGCGACTTCACGCTTTATTGAAACATTTCGAAAGTTAGTCTATTCGGAGCACTGTTGTATCACCACTCTCCCTTATCTCAGGGCTCAGGACATAGGTCCACCTTTCTTACCGCTTCTCATTATCGTCCCTGCCTACTCGCCTAGACCCTAGACCAAAAGATATGTTGAAATAATCAAACAAGTTGCATTTTCCAGATAATATTATGACCAGGATTCGGCCCTCTTTCAGAGTGACAGGATAAAAAAATAGAGATCAGATCATTTTACATATTCCAGGAGAAATGGACTCTCAAATTACTCAGTACTATTACAGAAGCTTAATAATGACTTACATGAACTAGGTCGTCATTTATAAGCACTGAGTTCAATTTCCTGGCAGTTTATTTGAAACTTGTGGGCAGATCATTTCTCTTCCATAATCTTGACGTACCTTCTAGGTTTGACGCTTCAGTTTGTTCCAACACCTCGACGTCATTAAGGGACAGACTCGACGTTCCAACGTTCGTTGCTACAGTTCCGAGGTTTGTAACGCTGCTTGCAGACTTGGAGCGTGGCAGGAGGCCGCCCTCCACATTATCCGAACCACCTGCAACACGAATATTCTATGCAAATTTGTCAGTCTCCCTTTCTCTTTGCACATTTCAACTAGCGAACAAAATATGAAGTTTAGCAAAATCGAAGGCATATGTACAATACAGGGAACCCACGGGGCATAACACCGATTTTTTCCGCCATTCAAAATCAGGACTAAGAATGCCTGGAGCTGTATATCCACAGGTCACAGCGCAGTGCTTCTACACCACGTCTTTCTTTAAGGATACATACTCGTATAAGTTAGGAATAAAGTGTTTAAGTTTTCACCTGGCACAAATAAAACCACTGTAGCTCAAGGAATAAGTCCCCATAGCTCAAGCGGTAAGTCGCTGGCTTCCCACCGCGGCTGCCCGGGTTCGATCCCGGGTCTGGTCAAGTGGGATTTGTCGTGGACAAAGTGGCACTGGGGCGGGTTTTCTCCGAGTACTTCGGTTTCCCCTGCCAATCTTCATTCCACCAATTGCTCCACAATCACCCTCACCTATCATCTGGGGCTGGTACAATAGGCCAGAAGTGGCCGCAGTACAAGGGACTTAGTCCCACCCCACTAGCCATAAAAGAAATTCTCCTTCTTCCCACTGCGATGGTTCGGATTCGATCTAAGGTCATGTTATATAAGGTATGTGATAGGCAACGTGGAACTGGGGCGGATTTTCTTGTAGTATTTCGGTTTCCCTACCCACTTCTCATTCCAGCGACTGCCCCGTCCTCATCAGTTATCCGGGTCTGGTACAATGAGTCCACTAGTGGCCCACGTACTGAATGCACTCAGTCTCACTCTGTCTCACGAACCAACGTCTCTGCAGTGTGTGTTAGTGGTGCAGACGTCTCTGAACATGGCTACATCTTCCTAATTCGGGGGACAGAACAAGGCACTAGAACGTCTGACTCTTACATGTGTGATATTGAATCACCTAACAAACAATTTGTTCTTTATTGAGAATTCTATAACGCACAGTACGTGTCTGTCCGTCTCCAGATTCAATCACGGCTATTCATACTATATGTGCTAATTGACCGATGTAAGTGGAAGGCCGTACCAACATCATTTCGAATGTCACAAAATTTTCGTTATTTAGGTTTATTTTAATTGCCTGTCAGCAACATCAGGTGCTAAATTGTGAGGGGAAACAATAACTACGTTCAATTTAAGATGCTGATATTGCGTATAGTGTAAAATTTGTTAATATTACGATACACGTACAAGTTAGATTTTATGGACGTAATAAAATATTGTTATAACACTCGAAAGGTTTCAGTTGTTGGCGATAACTATTAAATTTCTGTTACATAAGAAGTGATATTTCTGACAATGTGTTCTTTAGAAAAATATACCAGTAATATTAACAGTGTTGAAGCCTGCAAGATGTAGCCTACTTCTTCGGAACCCTCATATACAAGTAGTTCTTGCTTAGTTCTGTAACCGCAATGTATTAAGAATAATTACAAGACGTCTGTCTGGCCATGTTTTAGGCTTAATTTCTACTAAATATTTGCTACGACTATGACTGATTTATGCATATTATTAATATTCCAACTTTCTTCCTATCAAATACTCCATTTGGTACTGTTTTATGATTTATGTAAGATTTTAGGTTTTCACGGCGATGACTATGAAGAATGGCGTCTTCTTGGATGTGAGGCCGTGTAGATATTGTATAAACCGACGTTTTTGACAAATGTATCGCCCCCATCGTCAGGATAGTGTTCCTATCCCTCAGTTTAGTAAAATTCACTAATGTCCTGTACATTACAATCGAGCGCTGGTAGTACTTTACCATGACTGGGGGAACTCCCGTCACTGGACGGTCGGTAACCAGGATCCAGGAGTGCAAACGTGGAAGCCTCCGGTCCTATTCCTCTGGCCTTCTCCCATTCGTACAGTCGTCGCGTGAACTTCTCAGAAATGCCTTGGAATCTGAAGAACCCAGTCGATGTTTGTATAAGGACCTCCTGCTCCCTTTGTCCTGACCCCATAGCACGCCTCATCTTCTCTAGCCTGCAGTAAAATAACAGTAATTAGTAGAATATGGGAATTACGAATTTTTTTCACTGGCTCTAGAGCCCCTTTGGGCCCTGACCTCTGATTTTTCAGCTTCGTGATTATTTTACAGATGGTAGGACTCCTTGGGCCGGTAACAGTAGCCGAGCGGTCTAAGGCATGTACTGTCTTCGCTCGCTTGGAAACCGGGATCGTGGGTTCGAATCCCACTAAGGGCATGGATGTTTAGTTTGTGTGTGTGCGTTTTTCTGTGTTTGTGTACAGGTATAGGCCTTGCGACGAGCTGATCACCCGCCCAAGGAGTCCTACCGATTGTGTAAGATCTAGAAAAACCGAAGAGAACGGAGAAGTTCATGGAAGTAGGCCTAGGCCCATCGGGCCTGTAGTGTCAACAAAAAAGGACTCTTTGGATGAGTGATCAGCTCGTCGCAAGGCCTCTACCTGAACACAGGACAACACAAAATGCAGTCAATATTATATTTAAGCATCCTGTTGCACTCTATACGATATATGATATAAACTCCGTCCTAAGTGCAACAATTTATTGTAGGTCTTTCGTCTTGCTTTCTTCTACACCACATGTTTCGGCCGCAAATGGCCATCATCAAGTGTATACACTCACGTAGCTCTTACACTGCACTTAATTTAAAATTTAAGAACACAGGTCTTCCCAATTGTTCCCTTCGTCGTTGCTAACAGAATCTACTTCGCTGATATTTATCTGATTCTTACATTATCTTTGTTACCTACACACGTAAATTTTGACTTTCTTGAACTGGCACTTATCTTCAGTTCCAATTTTAAAAAATTTCTTTAATTTTTTTTTTTCCAAATTTTAAAATTTTAAAATTTAAAATTCTCAGGGTTACCCGCCCTATGTCTATAGTGCTGCAGCGGCTACTTCTTGTTTTCAGCACTGTACAGGTGTTATTCTGTGTAGGCTCCCTGTATGCGTGCCGCTGCTTATCTTTACTACGTAGTTGGTTGCAGCTCCTGTCTGGTATCCGGAAAAAGCATGCTACATAATACAGCTAGTAGAAAGGGACCTGATTTTTCATTCAGTAATTTCATTACTTTGCTGATTTCGGCTAATCTAATTCCTAGATTGTAGTAATTCTCGCTCTATCTGCTTATTTACGCAAAAAATAGAAATTTTGATGTTATAAGCGCTTTCTTCAAGATAAATTTTACATCAACTTAACAAGTTAAAATATCACGAAACCTTAAATACATATTTTTTAAATTTGTGCAACGTTTAAAATATTGAAATACAGTTCAGTATTATTAATACTTCGACCTAAGAAATATGAGGCAGTAGGTGGTCGGACAGGACTGCTTACTTAGGAGCTTCGTAAGTTGTACTCTTCGCCAGATATAATTAGAATAATCAAGTCAAGGAGAATGAGATGGGCAGGGCAGGTAGTATGCATGGGTTAAACGGGAATGCATATAGAATTTTAGCGAGAAATTCAGAAGGAAAGATACCATTAGGAAGATCTAAACGTATGTGGGAAGATAATATTAAAATATGTCTTACAAAATAGGATTTGGTGTATAGACTGGATTGATATTGTTCAGGTTAGGGACAACTGGAAGGCTCTTGTGAAGAAGGTAATGAACATTCTGTTTCCGTAAAATGTTGGGGAATTCTTTAGTAGATGAGCGACTAGCTGCTTCCCTCAAACATCCTAGACTGTTCACTTACGCTGCATCTACTTTTCACTTCTTGAGGCAAATTCATCCACCCTCAATATAAGAATGCCTTGTCACGTGTTGACCAGGACAAGAAGAGAAAGTTGCAAAAAAGAAATTCCTTTAGCTGCTTACCTTGCCTCTCTCTCCAGGTACTTTTCCCGCTCCCTCTCCAATCTTTGCTTCTCTCTCTCGATCTTGTGCAGTTCCTTCTCCAGCCACTGCAGCTCCTTCTCCTTTTGGCTCTTGCCCTTGTGATGTACTTTGCTTCCTATGCTTCCACTCTTCATGCTGATATTCCCACTTACTTCGTATTTCTCCTTTGCGGAACCAGGAACTTCTGCGACGTTCACAGAACCCTTGCTGATTCCGATCGGCTTCTTGCTCCATCCTTTGGAATTGCCTAGAAAATATACCCATAATTCAAATAAATATCAAAGAGACAGTGCTTTATTTATTTCCGCCATCTTGTTCTCTTTCATGTGAGGTCCAATCTTTCAATACTGGGCGATATACGGCCAGTGTTACGCCTTCTTTCTTCTAAAGAATTCTGATAATTGTACATTACACGTAATATTACTAGCGGTTGAAAACCCGGTTCTGTTTTCATTTTATATGACAAGTTAAGCAAACACCTACACAGTTGAGCGAATTAGAAACCCCCTTGTCATAGCGACTGATTTTTTTACAATATAATACTACAGAAAATATTATTTTTCTGAATACATTGACTATTTTGTTATCGTTATCAAACGAAAGAGTAACCGCATAATTGCATGGTTATCATGTATACTATTTTATATAAGGTAAAGGTAAAGCTATCCTTGTAACACGCCATGAAGGCCCATAGGGTTGTAGGACGTGGAGGCTCCCATATTTTCTCTAGACAATCTGCTCGCAGATGGCGGTAAGGTTGTCAGCCTCATGCGCCAGTCCCCTTTACCCCCCAGGAAGATTCCTTGTACTCATTTCTGTTAGAAACTGAGTCGAACCCAGGGCTATAGTGCGGCTGGAAGGATGAAGTAAATTGAAAAATGCACCTCATCGGAACTCGAATCCGTGATCTTCAGGCTGGTAGCATAGTTCCTCAATCAATTATGCTACCGCGTTTTACAGAAAATTACTCTAAAATATACCGCGTGCTTTTGAAAATCTATAAGACCACAATATTTAAATTTCCTATAATAACGATGCCAAACTTAATCTCTCCACAGAAATTCGTACGGTCTCCATGTTAGCGTTATTAATAAACTTATAACAGTTGAAGAGCACGAAGGTGATTGGCCTCAGTAAATTCGTGATCAGTTAGTTCAGAGGATGCTTGAGAATACAGACACGCCATATCATAAACAATTTTTTGCTATAAAATAAAATAAACAGGAAACTGAAAATTTAATGTTCGAAAAATTTAAGGACAAGGTTAAAGGAAACTGAATAGACAATATAACTTTAAGAGCATGTAGTGATGGGGCTATTAAAATTAAATAATCAATGTGACAGAACGTTCAGTGGTTATTGTAACTATTTTACTGCATCTACAAAATGGAAGAATCTTTTGTATAGAGCAATAGTAGGAGGGAACCCAGCAAGATGACTTAAGCGGTAACTCTTCTGACATATATTCAGGAGGTCCCTGGTTGGATTCTAGGCCGAGAAATCGGCTGTCCCGAAAAATTATTTTAATCGTTTTCTTCAGATCCTCTAAGGAAATGGTGAAATAACAGCTGAAATCAGGCCACGGGTCTCTCCATCCACACTATTTCCAATTTCCTGATCGTCCTACAGTTCGAAGCTTCACAAGCTATAAGCCTGAAGTGCTGGGAGCATCGTCAAGTAGACCATAGTTGCTACTTTTCCCACCACAAATCTCACATGAACTGAGCTGGGCTCGAACCCGGGCCGCCGAGGTGGAAAGCCGGCGAATAACCGCCTGAGCTATGTCACGGCCTAATATTTTCCAAATGCCTTCTTACTAAATTGGGTGAATTAGTAAAGCTTCTGACTTTTATTCGGGAGTTGACTGGTTCGAATTTCGGCAGGGGCATTTTCTATTCTGATAGATATTCTCCATGGTTTCCATCAGTCCCTCCAGAAAAAACACGGTTATAGCGTTTGAAATTAAGCTACAATAGCGTCCTTCCACATCCCTGCCATCTCGGTATTCAGCAGGTTTCGACTCTGTAGTCTAAGCTATTGACGGTGTCATTAAAGAAACCATAAATGAGAAAGAATGCAAGGTACTGCCTACTTCGTGACGCCATGTCCGTTCATTGCATAGCCTGTGTAAATTATTCACTCACTAATAATTAAAAGAATATTAGTTCACTGTATATATTACTTAGATCTCTAAATAAATAAGGAATATCTTAAATAAGTACATCGCCTACAGCAACATATGTATATATTTAAATTTCGTCACATGTCATAATACTGAAAAATGCTTCGCGATAATATGTAGATCTTAATGAGACCTACCATTAATATCAGAACCATGTTTACGCGATCGGACTTACTTAATGTTAAATTAATGTTTATATCGAGCAGATATTAACTAAAAAGAATTCAATGGACTTCATTTAATTTAACTCTCCCATATCTCATTTTTATTTAATTAAACTTGGAATCAGAGCACTTATTCGCTGTAAAAGTGTGTACTGAGTTCACATCAGGATTCCAGCAGAGCCCTGCCTTGACATTATTTCCCGCCAACAGTGTGGGTTTTTTTAATTCGCTTAGTGGGGGGTGGAGTCCAGCTGGGTCCACTCGGCACGGCGGCCACTGATTGGCCTATTGTACCTGCCCTGGGTGATTATGATGATGGAGAATTTGGTGGAATGAAGATTGGCAGGGGAACCGAAGTACTCGGAGAAAATCCGCCCCAGCGCCACTTTGTCCACCACAAATCCCACTAGACCAGACACCTGGATCGAACCCGGGACGCCGCGGTGGGAAGCCAGCGACTAACCGCTTGAGCTACGGCGAGGCCTCAACAGTGTGGTACTTCCGCAGTTCGGCGCACTGACTGGCAAATCAGATACGTTATTTTAGGTAAATTTCTAAGACAAACTAATTATTCCTTCTTCCCCTCACAGGGCCAATATATCCGCTGATGCAAAGGAAATGAGTCCTAAAATCTTGGGTTAATAAGATAGCGAGTGTGGTAGAGACAATGCTGAGTGCTGGCATGCAACCAAGTCTCGTTGTGAACGTCCTGAAATACGTGTAGCATTCTCGAGATTCACATAGTGAGGACAATCCAAAGTGTTCTTATTGTGGCTTCAAGATGGGGACTCAATACCAGACAACGGGCCAAAGGAATATCGGCCCACACGCCAAATTCTTAGTATGTAAAATGTTATCCGAAAATAAGTCATGGCCGTTTCTTTCCCAGAACGACCTCAAGATATTTCCTTTAATAAAATACAGTGCCCGCTTCCTCCTTTCCCCCTACCATTCGAATATTTACGTTTCTCAGATGTCTGTTACTAAGACAGCAGAGCCCCGTAACATTAGTGTGTGCACGTATGTGGAAGTGGCTGGAAGAATTAATGAGTGATTGTATTAATGAGGAAGTAGGTGAGTGACTGCACTAATGGATGAGTGGCTGGGCGGTGAGAGTTTCGGTGGGAGAGGAGCTACTAAATGTACACCAACCGCGGCGGTCCGGGTTCGATCCCGGGTCTGGGAAAGTGGGATTTGTGATGGAGAAAGTGGCGCTGGGGCAGGTTTTCTCCGAGAACTTCGGTTTCCCCTACCAATCTTCATTCCACAAATTGCTCCACAATCACCCTCACCAATCATCTGGGGCTGATACAATAGGCCAGAAGTGGCCGCAGTACAGGGGGCTTAGTCCCACCCCACTAAAAATAAAAAAATAAAAAGTGTACCGTTTCGTAAGCAACTGGGTGGGTGAGTGGCTGTGGGGTGGATAAGTGGGTAATTAAGGAAGTAAGTAAATTGACTAGGTGGACAAGAGGGTGTGGGTATGTGGGTGGGTGAGTGCATTGATGGGTGAGTCTATGATACTAATTACTTTACTATATACTCACTCATCTACAAAGACACACAATGTAGGAATCAACGTGTATTGTCTAAGTATTAAACTGTGAAACATATCAAGCAACAGTCAGCCTACCAGCATTCAATGACATGGATAGACTCTGCTTCTTTAAGACGAGTATATAACTACCAGATCCCTAGAGAGAGGCCAAACATAAAAGTTTATAATTCCAGATGTCCCTTATGGTAGCAAGGTACCCAAATTAACATTCACGCCGGTTATTTAGCTTCTCCTAACACCGACACTGAATTTTTATTAGATTCTGTGAAAGAGACATAAAGAATAACGTCCATCCATGGCCCTTTATAAAACCGTTTCTGTATTAAACTTGCATATATTTATAGCTGTGTTAACATGTATGGTATTCAAACAGACAATTGAAAATATGCCAGCAGTGTGGAGCTAGTTCTGTGTAGACCAGCTGGCCAGATGAATATTTGCAGAGAAGGTTTCTCATACTCTGAGAGAGTAAAATATGGTCGCGAGTACTAAGGGACTCGCACCAGAGAAAGACTGCGCTGGCAAGGGCCAGCAGCGTATACAAAAGACAGACCCGTCCTCTCGTCAGAGATGGCGCCCCACAGAAACCAACCCGTAACAGTCAAACAGTAATAAATATCTGATCATGAGCTCCAGATGGGGTTCGGCACCAAGACTTACTGACTGACTGACTGACCGTGAGTCGCAATATGATTTTGCCTCTGACTTTGATTTTGACTTGATTTGGAGCAGATCAGTGGCGAACGGACCAGATCTGAGAAACCAGTTCAGCTAAGATCAGAGAAGACCCTAGCGGAAATCTGAAGACAAAGCAGAGAAGGCCGGATCAACGGTCAGATCACAGCCGATGGGCTAGTCATGTGGCATCATCTGCAAGACGGTATTTCGCAGTGATTGTAGTGATTGTAATTGTGATTGTAAACGAGTTATTCAATAAGCGGCTGCGTCTAATCCAGAATCCACAGTTATTTGTCACGGAACACGTGGCTAAAGGAGTGGCAGAAATTTAATAAATTCTAGACACAAAATCATCGACAAGCTATTATCAGAAGACTCACAATTGGACACAATGACATTCTTCAGACTCTGATTTAAATATGATCACCTGTGGAATCTCTTCGAACTATTCCCGGGCTCGGAGTCTTGGTGCCGCCTGCCCGCTCGCTGCTGTCCTGACCCGGCGCGCTTGTCACCGTCTCAGGGCTCGGACTTGAAGAAGCGGCCTTCACCCTTTCCCATTCCTGCTGCTCCCTCTCAAAATCTTCTGTCTGGTCCTCTGCCCTGTGCTGGCTGTCGCTTTTGCCACTCCCGGTCCGCCACAGCTGCCACTCTGTAATCTTCTTTCTGAACTGAGGCGGCACTGCACTTCCGCTGACGTAAGCCTCCCCCGTGGACTGGGGTGTTGTACTGGAGGGTAGTGACTTCTTAATTCTCTGCCATTCCTGTAATCGCGAGAAAGGTAAAAATCGGTGACCGTCATAGCCTAATAAGTACACTGGGTACCGTCTGGAGTATTTCAAATCAATTCCATATATATTATTGCTCTTTTTAATTTCTGTGTTCAAAGCGGACTGGTCGTACGTACTGATGATGGTGTATAGCAAGTAGAGATACTTGCTTTTCGGGCTTTTTCCATCGTCCAGATTCTAAATAACTAAGAAAAAACAGAAGGTTTCGGGAAACTGGATCTGTTTCCGTCCTCAGGTGAGGGAAGACACCCACTCTGTTGGGTCCCTTAGAAAGAGCTAGCCTTTTTAGAAAGGAGTTTCTGTACTTTCCTCTCAACCTTAGCTGTAGGGTCTTTGGGCGAGGTTTCATAAATCCCGGGCTCTAGCAACGTGTTTAACTTATCCTTGTATTCGAATTCGTCCAACACCACTGTGCAGTTGCCTTTGTGATTCAGGCTAGCTCTTTCTAAGGGACCCAACAGAGTAGGTGTCTTCCCTCACCTGAGGACGGAAACAGATCCAGTTTCCGAAACGTTGTGTTTTTTCTTAGTTATTTAGAATCCGGACGATGGACAAAGTCCGAAAACCCAGTATCTCTGTCTGGTCGTACTTGTCTACCTAACCGCGCTCATACAGGCCAACATCCCAGATCATTTTGATGGAAGTTAGTACGTGACAATTATAGTAAGACTATCATTTCATCGCTAAAAATAAATATAAATAATGCTCATTTCTAAGTAAATTATGCGTTCTGAATTTAAGGAGCCAAAAGAATATGGGAGCATATCGTGCCCGATTTGTCGCTGAACAAATAGTTACTTGCCCATTGAATAATGAATAGATTAATCAATCGAAGACTCATGACATTTTAACTTTGACCTGAAATTAATTGTCAGCAAAGGGACATAAACATACTGTCACGTGTAGGGTGGGACGCGCGATAAGAATGACGGATTCTAGTTAGGATGATTGCCTTTATTGGCACCTTCGTTACAACCTCATATAATTACATTTAAATTACAGCGTTATCGCTGATACACACACACTTCATAATTCACAGCACCACAGCACTCTAGGATTCCCAGTCGTCACGAGTCTCCTGGCAACGGATCTAAACACAGAAACTATAATAGTCTCACTGGACTACGCACTCCCAGTATTAACACATAATCAGTCTTCAAATCACACTTTAAATCTTCACAGGTCTTCTATGAACTTCCCGTGGCTGTCTCCTATCGAAAACTCAGAATCCTGTCACTTAAAAACTGAAATCTGTTTTGTCAAAATCAAAGTCAAAGTCATATTTCAACTGACTGTCAGTCAGTCACTAAGTCTTGACCCGATATTAATTATTACCATTTGACAGTTACAGTCTTATTTTTGTGGGGCGCCCTCTCTGACAAGAGAACGGGTCTGTCTTTTGTATATGCTGTTGGCCCTTCCCAGCGCGGCATTTCTCGGGTCCGAGTCCCTTGGTACTCGATACCATAGTTTACTGTCTCAGATTTGAGACTTCCCTTTTCGTCGCCTCCTACGACTCGCAAGGTCACGGTGGAGGTATCCGACCCCAAGTCCAAGTCACATTGCGACTGACGTTCAGTCAGTCAGTATGTCTTGGTGTCGAGCCCCTTCTGGGGCTCACGACCAGATATTTTTTACTGTTGAACGTTACGGTTTTGTTTTTTGTGGGGCTTCCTCACTGACGAGAGGACGGGTCTGTCTTTTTTACGTGCTACTGGCTCTTGCCAGCGCAGTCTTTCTCAGGACCGAGTCCCTTGGAACTCGCGACCTTATTTTACTGTCTCAGATTTGAGACTTCCCTTTTCGTACGACTCGCAAGGTCACGGTGCCTCCACACTGTCGTTATATAGCCTACGTACCGAACACACAGAAAACAACCTCTGCTGTTGTAGAGGAGTGTTTACGGCGACGTTGAATAACAACGGTCACGGCACGGACCGTAAACGTAAACGCCGTACTTCTATTGTTGCATGCGTATATACTGCGGATGTTACCTAGAAACGTCCAATGTTTACAGATTCACTGCTTAGCAACGGGTCTATACATCACAATATTCTCTATCAGCGAAGTGCCGGCTTAGAAATAAAGGTAATTTAGGACCGAGACTATGATAACGGTGTTACTTTTCCGGCAGTATCAGACATTTGAGGACTGTGATTGATAAGTGTGTACCTCTGGTGAAGTGATAATTGACAGTGGAAAGACATGAACACTACCCCAGTCCGACTTGTGCTGCCAGAAATTTCAATTGCTGACTGTCGAAGGAAGGAATTCAGGTATTAAGATCGTGTTTCACGGCCTGAAATAGAGCACCGATGCTTCTCATTAATGACTGTATGATACAACACGCATATTCAATGGCATAATAGGATTCCTACAGGAAGGAGATCTGATGGTTTTTTCTCTTTCAACAGATGGCTAAGTAGAGCCTTAGGCTTTGCAGTAACAAGATAAGTATACAAACCTGTAATTTTTTTCGGAAGTCTGGTGAAAGACTGTCTTCATCCAACGTCTGGAAGGTTACGGAGTCGCGGTGCTTGGTGCTACCGCCCTGATTCTGCTGAGGGTGCTTCATGCGTTCCCACTCCTCCATCTTGCGACGGAACCCCTTATCGTGGTGAAGGAACCCGTCATCCCCTCCAGAACCCCGGCATGCAGAAGAAGAAGCCTTCATTCTCTCCCACCCATGCAACTTCTTGTGAAATTCCTGGCTCAGCTTTTGCTGTAGCTCCTCGTAATTCCTCTGGATTTCTGCGTGAATACTTGTCGACTGCATTGCTACTTCAGCGTCCCCTCCATCATCTGGTTTTGTTCCGGATACGCCGATCTCTCCGTATTCCCCACTGCTAAGCTCGTCTGTGTCTGCAGGTCAATGGAAAGGTATATATTTAGTTAAATTAATGAAGTCGTATCAGCTGGACAATTTATTTGGGGTCGAAAAGGAGAATGATGCGGGACAATCATAGCATATTTCAAGGTATATTTTCAGCATTCACTGAAAGACCCCCCAGAACTCTGTCTACCTTGTCTTGGTGGTGGGGCTTGTGTGACTCTGTGACCTGGAGAGCTATGCCGGCGGTAGTTTATCTACTGGTAGAGTCATCCATGACGGAAAGGTTAAAAGGTAGAGTCCAGACTAAGACAGATACTCCGGCCCTCCATGTTGGGGGTTGGGCATGGGGCTAACTACATCATCCTGTGAAAAGAATTTTGTTCAGAAGCCTAACAATCAGCCTCGGGTCATCATGCGTGGGTCCATTCCTATGGCAACACGCATTGGTTGTGGAGACTGGTTGTAGAGGAGGCCAAGGTTGACCCAAGGCTGTAACGCCGAGTGGTAGTGGTAGGTACTTAGATAAGAAAAATCACTGAACAGCTCAAGGTTCTCAGTTATCTACGCCGGAATAAAGGTTTAGCTTATTGTTGCTACATACTCCTTACAAATAGTTGGGAATGATGTAGAAGAGAACGGGCATAAGATGCTAAACAATAGATCCGTGAATTCTTTCACCTGAGAGGAAGAAAAATTAGGTTCATTGAGCGTGTTCATCAGTGCAGGCGCCTCGCTAACTCATCTGATTGTTAGGTCGTAATGACCGAGGCAACAGTTCTGGCGGAACCTTGCTGCCAAAACTTATGCTTCCCACTTTCATAGCCCACACAAATATGTTCAAGGAGACAGAGGACCAATATACTATCAAATGAAACCACCTAAGTCCTTACACATATATAAATTTCGTATTAATACCTGTCAAACACAACACTTCATCAAATAACTCATACTTTTACTGTGTAGAATTTAGTATTATTGGTCTAGAATAAGTCCATGATTTATTCCAGCTAAAATATAACATTACTAGAATAAGTCGCTACAGGTTTCGGCTCACAGAGCCATCCTCAAGCGATCAAAAATTAACAATTGCAACTCATATATAGGTGCATACAATACCCTTATCTCGGTGTGTTAGAAAATAAAATGACAAACTGTAATGTACTTTTGTCACGTTTTTGATCACTTTTATGGGCACAAATTATATAATTGCGTTCCTACCCTCAACCTGTAATTGGCTTTAAAATTATCTGTGAAACAAATATTTAAATCCTGTTAAGGGTCTAAAATATTAAACTAAGTAATAAAATGTATTAAAATATTAGACTCATTGCGTTACCCTTGTTCTTGATATTCTTAATGGTTCTTTTCACTAGTATTTAAAATAAATTAAAGAATTAAAATTAAGTTAAGTGTAGAGTTTGGCTGTTGCCGTGGTAACCCATTCCATTGTCCCCATATTTGTAGTCCTGCTTATGGCATTTTGTCTAGATCTTAGCACTGTATATATTTTATATATCCCTACGTTGTTTATAATCTAGAGGTGTTGGATAGTGGTTGGTTGTGTTCCCCTCTTAGACACGTGTTAATGTTAACTTCTTGGGTATAAACGTTAGTTGAACTTTCTCTATGAGGAATAACTGTCACTGATAGAGTTCTAGAATGATTTACCTAGCAATGTGTGATTCATAAATCATCAGAATTGGTGAAGTTAACTTTTTTTTTAATTCGCTACCTGAGGAGTGGGGTCCAGCTGGGTCCACTCAGCACGGCGGCCACTGATTGGCCTGTTGTACCTGCCCCGGGTGATTATGATGATGCAGAATTTGGTGGAATGAAGATTGGCAGAGGAAACCGAAGTACTCTGAGTAAACCTACCACAGCGCTACTTTGTTCTCCACATATCTTACTTGACCAGACCCGGGTTTGAATCCAGGCAGCCACGGGGGGAAGCCAGCGACTAACCGCTGAAGTTAGCTTTCTTCTATATTAACATCTTAGCCAAAACTGTAGCCTAACGATTGAAATTCCTCACTTCTTCAACTACGTATTTCTTTATCTAAAATAGTTTTATTCAACACATTCCTTTCTTGTGAATAACTTTTTTTACTTGGAAATTCTGATGAGTTATCCATTAATTCTAATCTAATCTATGGGCGCTAGAGTTCACGAGGAACCTCGGCCTCTTGTAAAATTTATTAATCCTACAGTCAGTTGTAGTCTTTGGGCCGGATATCAGCCAAGCGCAAGGCCGCTATCTACAAAGGACAACACAAACACAGAATAAATGTAAACAAATATCCATGCCTCGAGTGGGTTTCGCAACCACGATCCCAGTGGCTGGGCGGGAGAAGATAGTTCATGCCTTAGACTGCGCGCCCACTCTAATCGGAACCTTCCCTATTTACATGATGTAACATATAAAGGCTCTCTGGGCATCATTTCTACGGGCATCCGAAATCTGATCATCTTAAAATACAGAATTATTTACATGAATAAAAATTATATAGAAATCGTTACATAATACCTTTCTGCCATTTTCAAAGTTCGTCAATACACGGGACTATAATAAGAGCGGTTGAAGAAGGCCCTTCTCTGTCACCTTGATTCTCCATGATGTTATCGTTCTAATTATTTGCCTCCTCCATTTTCAGTGACTGAGTATCTGTAGGCCTATTTCTCTTGTTATTTGTTATGGAAACTCTTTTTCCCAAACATTATCTCCCATAGGTTCTTCCCTCAAGTGTCTGAAAGTCTTGTAATTTATAAACGATTTAAATGTTGGGAGGCTGAATTCTCTCTCTGTAAACAAGATTAGAGGAAGCGCATTTTATAAAGCTGTAAAGCAACGTTTAGAACTCTTAAGAACAAAACAATAATGTATCTGTAATGCTATAATGACTGGCCAGTTTCAGCCGAAGATTAGAACTGGAAGCCGATGTCATGAAAGAAGGAGCCTTATATACGTATATGCTCGTATGTGTAACGGTGGACTGATACATATCTTTGGACTACTCGTATGTAATCGTTTACGTACCCATTTCATCGAAGAAACTGGAATTTCTATTTGGGCTAGAAGGTACGGAGCTGCTAATGCGTCCCGTTCCGTCGTCCTCTCGACGCCCGGGTGCTGATGACGTCAGAAATGCCTTCTTCACTTTTGTCCATTTGGAGGAACGACGGTGAACTGGAGGAGACGTCCCAGCGCTTGCCGACGCCGGCCGTGGCAATGCCGTCTGCAGTCAGACAACAGAAGACAAAACAGAGCTGAGCTTTCTTGTTTGATTCAGATTGTCTGAAGATGGGCAGATTTCAATAGTGCTAAAGTAGAGAAGGTTTGAAAATGTACGGCGGGCTATTATATACAGAAGGAAATATAATTTTATAATTAATTCAACGCTCTCTTATCATAATTTTTTTAATAATGGCCCTATTTTTTATATGTTCTTCGGCACGCGGTAGCATAGCTGGTTGAGGCACTATGATACAGGTCGAAAGGTGGCAGGTTGGATTCCCGATCAGGTCATTGTATTTTTCAATTTACCTAATTCGTCCAGCCACACTATGGCCCAAGGTTCGATTAAACCTCTAAGTGGAAGATAGAGTTAAAATTTTACGTGAATGTCATTATCGGGTTCCGACTTTTCTCTTCTGTAGGAAGGCAGTAAAGTTGTCATCTTCTTTAAATCCTGAACTGCCATTTTCATTTCATCACCTATGTGTAATTAAAGTGTAATTAAATTATAATTATCATTTTTTTAATTTCATATAAGACAAAAAACAATATAAAGCATCTGTTGAAAATTAATGATGACAAAAAATATGTATAATCTTAGTGGGGTTTACCAACTACAATGTTCTGACTCCATTAAAATATATAGGACAAAATGGACGTACCTTTAAGATCAGATTCAAAGAACACATACGAGACATAAAAAATAACGGACAAANCCCCCCCCCTCCCTCCCTGGCATCGACTTTAATCCTATATCACCAAATCAGTCGTTGTTTGTTTTCCTTACAGTACGGACAATTTCTCCGTAAGATGAGGCACCGACTATACACTAAGTAATAATATATACTATATACTATACTCGTATCTTCAACATCAAAATCAACTACTAATTATAACAAAATTTAATACTATTATTTTCATATCATTTTCAGATTAATTAATTTGGAACATCATGGGCCTCCTGTGCATTCTTATATAAAAGAAATATTGAATTTCCAATTTGTCCATGGAAACGTATGAAGAGCATAATATATAACATCAATTTTATCTTGTTTTATGCAATAACTTGTAGATTTTTTATGTAATCTGACTTATTGTATTTTTGCGCAAAGTATTTTAAATGATTAATAACATTGTATCCAATCTAATGTACTGCAGTTTAATGGTATATGTTTGTTGATATATGTTTGCCTGATGATGACCGTTAGTGGCTGAAACATGTAGCGAAACATAGCTGGGCGCTGACCTTGTTTTTTTTTTTTTGTTTCTTGTGTTGTGACAGTCAATAAAGAGTTATAATTATCAGTTCGGAATACAGCACAACTTATTTCGCGACTGCCAGACGAATTTCAAATCAAATATTTTTAACAAATATACACCGGATTTATGTGACACGCACAAGAAACATCTGTAGATTCACCAGTAACGATTCAGTTAAAACAGAACATCTCTGTTGCTCGAAGTGAAGTTACAAATAGACCCCCGTTTATCCTGAAATGTGAGTTTATGTATTAAAAAATATGTTCTTTACAGGTTAGTATTCGATATTTCTGTTATGTAAACATTATGTTCGTGTCGTCTGTTAGTACTCCAGCTGTCAGGAAAATTAAACTCTACTTTCCAGTCTTTACTTCGGTCTCTTATTCAATGTGTTTGCATATTTGTATGTAGCATTCAGGATTCTTTCGTGGCTTTCCTCAGTAACAGATATCAGCCTCTTTTCCTTCGGGATTGACCACTGAAGATTGAGCAGTATGTTCGTCTGAAATATTGGCAACGATCTACCAGGCTACACCACACCACATGCCAGAGGACAGGTGTGATATATTCACAGGAAATGAGAAACTTCAAATCTCGTTCATAAAAAATTCTTAATATTTTCTTATGTGCTCATGGCTTAAAAATTCCTGGCATACTTGATATTCAGAAGTTGATTGGTATTTCAGTCGTATTGATTCCACAGATAAGATTAAGTTATTTCTTTTGAGCATGTTTTTGTTCCTATTTTCTATAGAATCTGTCTTAAACGAGTCATTCACTTTCAAAATCATGCTATTACGACAAGGTTTCATAACTCAGTGGTTTTAGTCCGCAAGCGAAGTATACCGACCGATCTACCGCCGCTTGTCGGCTAAATTAGTGCCAACTTTTGCGGATAGAGGGTGTCGTGTGGTCAGCGCAACGAATCCCCACGGGAGTTACTTTCGGTTTTCTAGACCGAGTAGCTAGTTCTTTGAAATAGCTCCTCAATTATCATCACGAGGCTGAGTGGATCCTGTTCCAGACCCACTATCTCTCAGAAAATCTGGTAGCTACGGGAATTGAACCCGGGACCTCTGGATCGGTAGGCAGGAACTCTGAGCAATATGACCAGAGAGACGGTTTATACAGTTTCATAATCCTATATATTACTTGGTTCCGGTATTGATCCCACATCAGTAATTGAACCAATCGTTAGGCTGACGTTCTCAGATTAAGTATACACAAAACATGAACCTGTTTCAAGAATATTGGTCAGTTTGTTTATACTTCAACTCCAAAATTAAGAAAACTGACTAAAAATAATTACCCGCTTCATTTTAGTGAATAGGCGTGATATTCCATACCAGATGGACGTACTGTAGCAAGGAGCGCAATTATAAAACTGCTTCCATAAGCTTCGAACATTTTAAACTTAAACGGGCATTTCTTCACAGCAAATAAGTACGTAACAGTGCTGAAAATAATTCCTCTATTGTCCTTATTAAGATATTTTATGAATTCTCTATAATATTAGAACACTTTAAGCTGGAAGTCTCCCTACCTGTCGCTTATATTGGTCGCATTTACTTGACGTGTCATCCGTTGCTCCCTGGTCAGTGTTCCCATTAGCCCCATGAAGGCTTGTAGCAGGGACGGATGCTGTGGAAAACTTGTGATGTCTGTCTTCTGTTTGCGGACTAGGGGGTGGCTTGCTGTTGCTGCGAACCAACTGCTGGTCTGCTCTGAGCTCCTCAGTTGAAGGCAATGTTATGGTCAATACAGGCGTCAGGCGTCGATTTGTTGGAGAGTCACTGGCTTGAAGATGGCCATCAAGAGAGGAGGTCGAAGTCTTGCTGTGTTGCCTCTTGGTGGTCGAGCTCCTCGACCCCGTCACATCGCCACTCACCTCTATGCGTGGCTTTGCGGCTAGCGCGTTCATCTGGAATTATGGGTATTCAGAAGGAAAGTAAGATTCTGTGGAAATGGTTGTCGTGGCTAGATTTATGCTTATTTGCCACGATCTCTACATGCATTCATGTCATGATATTAGAGAGAAATATCGTTTTACGTTGCAATCTTGCGGCTACATTCCGTCTGTCAGAAGTGCCTGTTACATTGAGCGAGCTAATATATGTTTACGTTGGTACGAAGGATCTGGACAGAAAGTAGAAGAGATGGCAAAGAAGTTTCATCAAAGTAAAGCTGAGAAAACTTGGATGATGATGTGTGTTAGAATCTGGATACAAACACTGTGCGGACCAAGCAATAAAATGTGTAGATTCAAGTTAGGACTTGAAATAAAATAATTGAATTTTAAAATGGAACCTCATGAACCTCCAGTTCAGGTAAGAAAGGCATCAGATATTCATAACTGCATTTGCTGTGTCAGTTGAACTACAAGGAACTTTTCTATTGTCGCGTACGTCTCACTGTCTCCATTGTCACAAACCCCATTATTGTTGTTGTCTTCTTTATTTTCTTTATCATTGCTCGTCATATCTAAGTTTATCAACGATATTTCAGCTATAGCCCTCATTAATCAATCTCAACGGCAGAAGTCTTTCTTCTCGAGATTTCTAACAAAACCACGAGCCTTCATTCAACTTTCATTTCTTATTTCACCGACAGATCTTCTGGTAATTTCTTTGAGCATCGGAAAGGAAACAGTGTTATATTGTTTGCTGCCGTTCATTTTCCAACACAAAAACTATATTATAACAAAGCACAAATCATTGTGTAATTATATCTACCTTGTTTCCTCGTAATCATTGAAGACTTCGCCTAAAAGAGATATAAATCTTCGACGCCTAAAAACAAGTATCAAAGAGCAACACATAACGGAACACAACGTACCATACTCAACTGAATTAAAATAGTACGACCTGTATATAAATTTGATATAGTATCAGTTTTAACCTCTTATAAGGAACGTATGACTCAGATGTTTCAAATACTTTGTCTTGTACATATGCATTATTTTCCCTTGAATACGTTACACCTTTGAAGATGGTTGCAGGCAACCGAAACATGTCGGGTTTTTAAAAACATGTAATTAAGTCACGTACAACTGTTTCAGTAACCATTTACGGTAATTTGTGATAATCATGCTGAAAAAATATTCGAACACGAATTAATAATCTTTTATGATTTCTATTACTTCATTTAACTCCATTTTTCCCCTGCGCGAATATTTATCGGCCTCTGTTACGCATTTTCGTTCATAGTAATTCCTGGAACGTTATATCGCCAACAGTTCTTTACCATGCAATGAGTTGGGTATAAATACACGTCTTGCCTATGTACGAGACTCGTTTCTAGACTCTTCGTCGCTATTTCTCGGCGCTCTTAAGTGGGCTGCTCCACGTGCAACGTTTACTGGCATGTATCTTGTGTTCTTATGCTTTTCTAAATCTGAATCCCACTCCTGCAGAATTCTCCAAGAACATGTGTTTTCAGCGAGAATTTTAACAGAATCGGAATTCCTTTTCTTTCATTTTATAATACACGAAGAAAGTTATGCGCAAAAGAGCGAAGTGACCTGGATTCTTCTTGTGACCGCACATTTCGCTCAGTTCGTTTCCGCTCGTTCCTTCTCTCGCAGCCTTTGTTGTCTTTTTAGAACTTCTGTTGGAGAAATGCTGCACCTTCCCTCCTCTTTTCTGGGATAACTTTATATCATTACCCGTAATCTCCTTACCTTGAGAGTGAGCTATTTTGCGTATGTGTTCTGTGGAGTTTCTGTAATTTGGCAACAGTATAATTGGAATACTAATTAATTAGTAGATCATTTCCTTATCGAAAATCTGCAAAAACTACCAACAGCTACATTCTTTTTTATGAGATTGAGTGCCTGTTCAATAGGGAAGAGATGCAGAAAACTGCAACCGGCACTCGCTGATCAGACGCGATATAGAGGCGTTTACTGCTACTGCTCCTACCGTTTCAGCCACCACCGAACCAGCTGGTGTAGCACTAATGCTTTATCCGATATTCGGGGAGTATCGCGTTAGAATCTCACCTGGATTATCCTAATATCTTTACTGAATTGTCTACTGGTTTTCACCAGGCTCTATAAATGAATGTCAGAACAGTGCCATGAAGAAGTCAAGATAATCTCCTTTCAATTTATGTACCGTTAAACATTTATGATGATTTCCCTATCTCATTCGACTGAACATAATCTCTGAATCCGAAAAAGCATCGCTAAACAAACCGAGGATCCATTAATCCAAAAGAAGTCCTCCATAGAACACGTTCATGAAAATTATAAAATATAAAGAATATAATATATTTTTAAGCTCACAGTTGAAGATAATTATACAACTCTTTAATGAACCGTCACAACAAGCAAATAGTAAAACATCAAAGTCATCGTAAAACTGTGGCTTTGCTACATGTTTCGGCCACTATCCGCCATCATCAAGCAAATACATATCAACAAAAATCTACCATTGAACTGCAATCATAAAATGGATAGAACACTATTAATCGTATAATTTTAAAATTGCTTATGTAAAAATACAAAAGTTCAGATTATATAAAAATTAAAAATTGGAAGTATTATAACAAGATAAAATATTAATGATGTTTTCAAAAACATTGAATCAGTCGTTGGATATACTTCGTGTGCGTTTCCATAGACAATAGGAAAATTCGATATTACTTTATGTAGAAGATTTTGAGAGAGGCCCATGGTGTAGCAATTAATGAATTGTGTAATGCTGCCTCGTCATTAAGAAGAATTGTCCGTATTGCATGGAAAGCAAACAACGACTGATTCAGTGTTTTTGAAAACATCATTAATATTTTATCTTCTTATAATACTTCCAATTTTTAATTTGTATATAATCTGAACTTTTGTATTTTTACATAAGCAATTTTAAAATTATACGATTAATAGTGTTGTATCCATTTTATGATTGCAGTTAAATGGTAGATTTTTGTTGATATGTATTTGCTTAATGACGGCCGATAGTGGCCGAAACATGTAGCAAAGCCACAGATGTACGCTGACTTTGATGTTTTACTATTTGCTGTGTTGTGACGGTTCATTAAAGAGTTGTATATTGTAGCACAGCAGGATGCATGAAATTAAGATTGAAGATAGTTATGTTTCAGATATCACATTTTGTTTTGGATATCGGTAAATCAAGGTTATATTGATGTCAGCTTCTGACTGTAAGTCGACAATTACGTTGCTTTATGTTTATTTTTATTCCATGATATCACGGGGTTTTATTAAATATTGCACACCTCTGCGAACGGACTTGTTTCAAGTGAAAACTGTTTTAAACTACACACAAAGTCGTTATTGATGGGGCAGCTAGGAACGTCACGCAGTCACGTGAATCCATATAAGTCGAGCCTGTGTTTATTCAGGCAATCACAGGAATTTGCGCTACGTGAGATGTGCTGCGTATTTCTACGGCTCTGTTGAATTTATGGGAGCCAATATGAGAAGTCAGTTTGTGAGACTTGGTACAAAATGATTCGATATAACCAAACAGAATGCGAACACATATCAATGAATTATGCAGTCTTGGCATGTATATCAGTTTTATAAACCTGACCGTTTAGAATTACATGTAAGCAGCGTGTTTTAGATGATCTTTGACAAAATAATTCGGAATAAGTTCTTCTTTCGTCACACCTGTTTGTTAGTAACCGTGCTCAAACTTCGGAACTGATATCATCACATTTTATTTATTAAAAAAAATTAATAGCTCAGGTTTTTCAGTGAGGAATAATTGTACAATCAATTAATGATGAGAGGGAACTGATTTGACTGAGAGCGGTAGTGGTCTAATACGAGGAACTAAGGCGGAATTTTCTTTCAGGAACTAAGAAAAGTCATGAAAGCTTCAATGAGGAACCGCAGTGTCTGGTCCGAGATTTAAAATCTAGATATTTGACTACGAAACCAGACAGATAACCGCGAATTTTGCTGACTTTTTTTAAACTACACTGAGTTTCGTCGTGCCAGTTTTATTTTCTGTTAGTTCGATTTTAGAACTCTGTACATGGCTCGAGGCATAATGTTACAACCCTATTACCAAACAGTGTAGATATAATAACGAAAAGCGAAGTGAGAATATACAATAAAGAAGAAAATACTACCTACATAAAATGGTCGATACAAAATGTAGCCTCTGAACTACTCAACTGGAATGCACGTCTGCATGTGAGTATGTACGTATTTGCTCCGAACTGGCACTGAGGCAGGATCTCTCCGAGTACTTCGGTATCTCCTGCCAATTCATATCCCACTGAATGATCCATACACATCCACCTTCGGGGGCTGGTACAAGTGTCCTGCTAAACAAGAGGAATCAGTTTCACGCGGTAAGACAAGTACATCTTTCCATGATATTATCCTGAATCCTGGTCGCATTTGCTACTTTGTGAGTGTGTATTTGCTGATCTGCATAGTTCTAAAACGCTAGTATTATATAATTGAGTGTTTTATATTTTTTACAATGGCTCTTCCAGCCCATTCATGGCACAGACCTCTTATTCAGTTCGGTAAACATTTTGCACACACGGTAACGCTTCTTCGACGAGTGGGCAGCCAATCGCAAGGCCGCTACCTAAACACAGGACAACACAGACAGAAAATAAACGCATACACCCACTAAACATCCATTCTCTGAGTGGGATTCGAACCCAAGATCCCAGCGTTGGAGCGAGCGAAAACAGTTCTTGTCTTAGACGGGCGCGGTTACTGTGGCCGGCGTTTTATAGTACGGGAGAGTAAGAAAACACAACATACAATACATTATTATTTTTATTATTATTACTGTTATTACCGGTCTAGAAAACCGAAATTAACGGCCATGGGGATTTGTTGCGCTGACCACGCGACACCCTCTATCCGCAAAAGTCGGCATTAAACTTCGCCGACAAGCGGCGGTCGCTCGGTCGGTATAGGTCGCTTTCGGACCAAAGCCACGGAGTTTGTTCCTTGTTTCTGTTTTGTATTACTGTTATTATTATTATTGATATAATTATTGTTGTGTCCCCATATTTTCTTCTAAATCCCACCTGCTATTCATAATTTAAAATAAAAAGATCCTCGAGACACTAAATCCGGCATATAGAATTTAGCGGAATAATTGCACTGAGAAGTGAAGGAAATGTGTAATATTTCTCGTGAAAATATAATTCGAAAAAGTTGATTTAAATACGGTATCAATTTACGAGGATTTAGAGAGATAGAAGTAAAATCTAGCGGTATAAACTTCAGCGCTCCCTGTCCTGCAGGTGTTTGTTATACTCACAAACTGACTCTGTAACCTTATCTGTAATATCGCAAGCACCTCCAATGCAGATACTCCTTATTTTATTCCTAGACCTCTAAAAATCCCAAGCGATTAAAGCACGCTTGAGGACACAACAATATTAGCAGTCTGTGTGCGGTATCGCGTCTGCGCACTTCATTGATTAATCGCAAATATTAAGTGACTAATGGTCAATTTTAATGAACACTATATCACTGAGGTTGATGATTTTCATCTATACGGACATGGTGATCATGCGAACATGTGAACTCGGGATGAAACTGGCTTCATTATTGTATGGTCTAGAAGATATATATGCTGATAATACACAGTATAATACGTTTAATGTGAATGCAATACGAATCAATTGGTGTGTCTTGGTCCATGAGTTCTGTAAAATACCAAATATGGCCGATGAGTTTTCTCACCCCTGTGGGCCCCGCCTCCTTGTCCGAAGATTCACGTGCCTGCTCAGTGCTCCCAGTTTCCTCCTCGTGGTCACTGGGAGCTGCCTCGCTTGTGCTCTTGCTTCCTGTATCCAACTTGCCGTGACGATGGCGCTTCTTCAGGCTGTCCTTCCGAGTCTGGATGATGTCCTTCACTTTGCCCCATGGAGTTTTATGTGCCTTCTGATGAGGAATTTTCCCTATTGCAGTACTAGCAACGCCATCCTGCACATCATATAAAAATAGTTGTCTCCGCCGGTTACGTAATAAACAACCTAGCAATTCAGAAAATATTATAGGCCGAATAAACAGATGAATCTGCATTTTGAATATTTTAAATTTATTTTAAAACCATGAGCGAACAAAGTTCATTATATAACTTCTTTTCTGAGTAATTAATTACTCTCGGAATATAAAATCTTCCTCTTGAACTTTACAAATATTTAGTTGTTCTGTTATCACAGACCCATGAGGTGTACCATGAGGTTTACCATAATCATCAGGAAATTCCATCATTTAATTCTGTCCCGATTAAGTTAAAATGAGTTTCCATCTTTAAAACATCTTCCCTGATTGACTGTGGAGCACAGCTCACTAGGAGACAATAGTTATTAGGAATTGTCTCACTATGCCTCGGTCCCAATACAAATATCGTAACAATTCAGAATTAAACAATACTATTTAGAGGTATGAAATTAGTTGTAGAGTATATATTGAACTTTATGTAAACTTAATTAAAAGATTTGCTAGTATGTTTCAAAACTCTCTTCACTTACATATTTAAATTTTGGATTGGATACCTTAGAAACCAAATGCCTAGCTATTAGGGCGCTGTTGCCAATGGTAGCATCTCCATCCAGGGACTTGCTACGTCGCGAGGCGTCTTCCTCCTCGGGCATCTGCGACAGCGACCGGCGTCGAGTGTCTTGCACTAGCAGCCGTCCACCGGTTGAGTCCGTGGCCGACGCACTGCGCTGGGGTCCTGAACAGAAGAGTGACCGCTACTTTAAATGTCACCCGGATGTTAGTGGGAAACTTAGGCCAATATTCAACTTCGGAGAATTAATTACACGTATTTGCAAATCTGTGTACATTTACATAGTATTAAGTTAATTTATTGCAGTCTGAAATATGCTTGTTGGTATAAACGAAGAAATTGAAATGAAACGTCTAAATTTTGGAGCTTCCACCCCCATGGTATCCTCACATTATTATGGAAAGGGAATTGAAACACTAAATACCTCATTAGCTATGCTAGCCGTAGCATAGATACTAGTAGAGACTGTGGTTCTTAACCTTTGTCAGACCGCGGCCCGGTAAATTCTTTTTTCTGTAAGATGAGGACCCGGTACCGGGCCGCGGCCATCCTGTTGAGAAACACTGGATTATGCCTTGTTAGACAGGAGAAGAAATAGGTGCCAGACAAAGACTATACCCTGTGCCTCCATGTTAGCATAAGCTAGTAAATTCCTCGCTGGAAGTTTTTGAATATTCATATAAATCTACTTCATAGATGAAATTATTGTGTGAAGTAGAAACTGGTTTCGTTTACAATGAAGTGAAGAAGAAATTAAATTTACATTAACAAATCTGAGCATTTGTTTATGTTTTTCTGTTTCTAAGTATGCAAACACCATGGAGCGGAGTATTTCTTGTAAAACTAGTTTATGAAGTGAATAAGAACTTCCCCCACCCTTTACGGAAGCAGAAAGTTTATTGTCATATTCACAAGACCTACTACGAATTCGTGTTCCGACTCAGCTAAATCCAGCTCACATCCTCACAACTTCTTACTTTCAAGGTCCGTTTAAATTAGCGTCCTGTATGTTTGTAGGTCACCTAAGTAGCCTTTTCAGTTCAGGATTTCCGATAAAATTTTTCATTCTATTCGATGCATGTAATGGTTCCTTTCCATCTTATTTTCCTCGATTGAGTCTTCACAATATTTGGCGAAGAGTATAAATTACGAAGTTCGTAATTATACAATTATATCCATTTCCTATTATTTTCTCTCCCTCTCTCCAAATAGTCTCATCACTATTCTGTTCTCAGACACCCACTGCGCATGTTCGTAGCGTAGGTTGAGGGATGAAGTTTACGTTCATAAAAATAGACTGTAACATATAGATGTTTCCTTAACGAAATTATTTCAAATAAAGGGTTGAATAATTTATTGTGACTTTGTGAGTGTATTCATTTTTTGTGCGATAAGTCGTTTTCGAAATGCTTAATGGCAACCCGTTTGACCTTTATGAAAAAATGTGTTATGCTTACTCATATGGGCAAAAATAAAAATCTCCTCTATGCGTTTGGCAAAAGCCTTTCGTAAAATACACCATATACACTAATAGACTTTAAAAGATTCTGACGATGGTGTATTTTATTAGCGTCCATTGTGTATTTTATATTGGACTTTATCCATCGTCTGGTATACACGTATAAGACAAAAAACAACAACGTTTCGGAGACTGGATCTATCTCCGTCCTCAGGTGGATGGGGCAAGATAGGCCTACTCAATTGAGCCCGTTCACATTTTTGACATGTGCATGCTTGGCACAAAAGTTTTAGCTTGTCTTTTCTTGTGATTTCATTCTTATCTCCCAGTGATGGAACCTGTTGTCAAGTGCTTATAGGCTGTTCTTTACTGACCGGGGTCTGTCCAGTGATTGAGACTAGCTCTTTCTAACGGGCCCAACTGAGTAGGTCTATCTTGCCCCATCCACCTGAGGACGGAGATAGAGCCAGTCTCCGAAACGTTGTGGTTTTTTGTCTTATATATACCAGACCATGGATAGAGTCCAAAATAAACCTTATAGTTCTATACCGTGTACACTGCTTAGGTATTTTATGGTTTAAAGCTTTCAGTAACGCAACAGAGCCGAATATCACAATAGATGAATAATGAATTGGAGCCTTTGGAACGAAGCGTTCTTGGCCTCTTCGGGGTAATAATATGGAGAGTCACAAAAGACACCAGTTGCGATAGCAATTTTCCCTGCCAAGATTCGAACCAAGAACTTTCAAAATATACAGTTGTGTTCTGGAAGGTGACTTACTATGTAAAATTTCAGTTACCTCAACTTTGCTGTATTCCTGTTATTCTTAAGAGGACCGTGATTAGTAGCTAAGATTTGCTGTCGAAGCGTATCACTAGTACACCATCCTTTCACAGGATTAAGAGTATAGAATTGTTATTTATGTACAATGACATCTATCAAAATTATGTAGATTGTGTCTGGATCACATTCTTCGAAAAATATCTCTTTGTTTCCTAATTCCGAAATTACCCTTCATTTCTTTCTAAGTATGGTGAATCACGATTTACTTTCCATTTCTCTGCTGAGCCTCATGGCCCCTTATTCTACCCAACATTTTTGGTGTTAAGATATTGCAGAACATTCCAAATTACGTTTCTTCCTTCCAGGTAGTTGTTTAAAGACAATGTCAACACCGAGATTATGTAAGTAGTGCAGCTTCTTCTTTCTAAAGTTGTCAGCTTCATATAAATGAGAATACACAAGGAGAGGGGGCAGGCGGTATCGTAGTTTGTTGGGGCACTGTATTACAAGACGGAAGATCGCGGGTTCGATTCGCGATGAGGTTATTGGATGTTTCAATTGATCTAATCCTTCCAGCCGCGCTGTGACCCTGTGGTCGACTCAGCCTCTAACAGAAATGTGTACAAGGAATCTTCCTGGGGCGTAAGGAGCGGCCGGCGTGTAAGGCTGACAATTTCATCGCAACCTGTGAGCCTATTGTCTAGAAAATGTGGGAACGTCGACGTCTCAAAATCCTATGGGCCTTCACAACCTGTTACAGGGGTACATTTGCCTTTACACAAGAAGAACAACAATGAACGAAATGCGCTTACGTGTTTGCTAGGGATAGCAAAATAGTAGAGATAGTATAGACGGTAGAAATTCAGTTTTGAAGGTGGGAGAAAACAATTTGCAGTTTCCACACTTACTAACTAACTCTCTCGGTGGAGCTGAGCTCTTATTTAGAAACCGCTAGTTGTGCAGCTACCCAAGAATTTCCCAAAATTTTATGTAACCAGGAGGTTATTTACCGTGTACACGAGAGTTCTCCGCTGGTTCCTATCCGAAGCCAGATCAATCCAGTCCATACCACCCCAGCCTATCTCCCTTCCACACTGCACACCGGAACTACAATCCAATAGCCAAGAGTCTTATGTTGTGTTCATAGACAGGGATACACTTCATCTTCTCCGCCATAGTGAGATAGCTCATGCTACATAGTTTCGGTTGGGAATTCAATGTTTCTGTTGAAGTTGGTTCAAATGTCAAGTAACATATCTGACTTTTATTCGTCATATTCATTTCCAATCTTGGCCAGGTAAGCGGTTCTCATGAGCGATTAGGCTGTCTTGAGTCGTTTTCTAAGGTCATTCGATCATACATATGACCAGTTCTTTCGAGTAAGCCACAATCGCTTAACTCGAATTCCTCTCAGAATCCATACCTTCATCTCACTCGTCGCTACATGACTTACGCACGTCGTATTTCTAAGGAATATTAGCTATGTCCGGTCGTCGATTTTTAAATGTCAAATAATACAATATATTAATTAGGTCTATGATCCTAAGTTCCTATTCTTAGAGTCTGAACCAGTAACGAGATTTAACTCTTTGAAGTACAGTGATAAGTGTGTGTGTGTATATATATATATATATGTTGTCGCGTGTTGCCTTTGTAACGCGACAGATAAATTCACGCGGGTTTCGGATTTGGCTACTATGTTTATTGGACGCTCACTTTTACACTTACAAGTAAAATTATTCACAATCACAATTATTGCCAAACTGAAGACTGACTACTATTCTAAGGTCAAATGCAAACTGAACTCGTCTGTTATCACAGTTGGACTCTTCTAACTTCCATGAGGACTCAATAGGGAATCCCATCTCGAAGGGTTCATTCCGCTCGCTGCTATCGAAACGTTGTTTCAACGATTCGTGTATAACGGTGGAAACAACTCTTAGGAATTGCTAGCGATCTGCTTCCTAGATGCTGTCGTGGGAACGTTGGTCGTTGCCTAGCGAATGAACTCTGACCTCAACCATTCCTTCCGGCTTTCTGGTGGCACGGCATAATACATACATATATATATATGTGTGATGTATTTAATATGTATGTATATAACTTACTGTAATATTCATTAGTTTAGAACTATACCAATAGAGTAGATATAACATATACGTATTATTATTATTATACGAACATCGACACAAAAGTTCGTAATAACCGAACCAATATTAATGCACTAAGATTAACTACAGAATAAAATGTACGAGTATAAGAAAAAGAAACCGAGGTATTAAGTGTTTTATATTTGTGTGAGTTTGTCAGATCTTGTGCATTGTGGATATTTTTGGTGAATAGCATTGATTTATTTAGGGACTGCAAATTAACACATCTCCGTTAGGGAATTCTAAGTCCCTATGTATGTATCGTTAGACAGAAAACATGAAGTTAGACTATACTGGGAAGGCCTATTCATTAAAGGGACTGCAATATGAAAATGAGTCTTAAAAGATATAGGGAAGGGGGACCGTGGACTGAATTCTCGTAGTTCAGGGGATAGGTTTTTGGAGGCCATTTTGATAGCGTTAATATATTTATTGACTAATCGACTGCTAACTCTCAAGAAGGACTCTCCTTCAATGGAGAGGTAGTTAATGTATTAGTTAATTAAGCAGTTAAAGGTTTCTAATATCTTTCAACTAAATCTCATTAGCTTATTTCTTTAAACAGAAATAAATAACTCCATAAGCCTCCTTCTAATCTGCTAATCTGCTCTCAGGAATCCGCCATTTTTCTGTGTTTATGAAATGAAGCAGGAAATATTGCCTCAGGTCTCATTATGACGCTCTCTTAAGAGTTGTGAGGGTCTCCCTCTCTCTTCTTCCTTTGATGACGTAAGTTTCAGGGCTCACTGGACGCGATCTATATCATTAGATTAACCCCGCACAGAATTATGGCCAGCAGAACAGACGTCCTTTGGCAAAGAGGAGAGCAATGATAATAATAACACAATGACTGAGCGATACTTGGCTCACCATGTCGAGACGTTCGTGTTCCACTCCACAAACTGATAACGTCAGTTCCGGTTCCTTTTCAAATTTCCACAGAAATGCAGCGAAAACCCGAGGACGCCTTCTTCACATTTTTTTTTATTTTGAAATAATTTTACAATCTACTCAATATACATAAATGGAGTGATTAGTAAAAGGGATGGGTGTGTGTAATATTGAAGCAGATATCATCCTCCGATGATTCTCTGGTGCTTATCTAATGAGATCCTCTGGCCACATTCTATTTAGTCGTCTTTCTATTGCTGGTTGGTTGTAGAGGTTTCTTATTAGTTGGTTGTTGCTTTGAGTGGTCCGGTTTTTGTGTTTCTCCGGGAAAATTCTCATGACTTCTGTTACGTATGGTATGTGGCTCCAGATTTCCGGTTTTTGTAATGTTTGTAATCCAAACTTAAAAATAAAAATTAATTAAATTTCATACCTGTATATCTACATGTAGTGAACGGAGAAGTGCATGGAGGTAGGCCTAGGTCCACTGGGGCTGTAGTGCCAAGGAAATAAAAATCTACATGTAGATAACACCTATGAACAGTAACAGAAGGAAAACATAACAACCTGCTTGTGTTTTGAATTTGCATGTTAAGAACTTCGTGTTTTCTTTTATCTTGTATGCGGAAATAACACAAAATATTATATGTAAATATATAATTAATCGAATTAAATAATATTTGAAGAATGAAAACACATGTTGTCCGCCCGTCCATCTTCGTTGTATACCAAATTTGCAAATGTTTTAAGCTACGAGACATGTGGTTGTGCCATGGTACTGTATTAAAAACTATTTTCGTTATTATTCTGATGTGGTACCAACAAAGACTCTTTTCGTCTCTATTCGTTAGATCTGGAGTTAAGAAAGTAGATAGATACACGTATATCACAGCAAATACGAAAATAATGTGAAAAGGGATCTTGGGAAACAAGATGTGAATATACGGATGCATTTACCTATTTCAAGACAGGGTTCAATTAATTGTTTTTATGAAGATGATAATGGACCTCCAGCTTTCTTAAAGGCAGGGAACTTCTTGGCTTACGGACTAATTATTGCCCTTCATCTAGATGGTCATTGTTAATACGAGTGAAATAATTAGTTCATACGTCCGCCTAGATTCTGCGACTAATATTAAGGATATTTCCGCCACGATCTTGCAGCTAATGTTGAAGACTACTTCCGCCACGATCCTGCAACTAGTGTCGGAAGCTACCTCCGCCACGATCCTGTAGCTAGTGTTGAAGTCTACTTCCGTCACGATCCTGCAGCTAGTGTCGGAAGCTACCTCCGCCACGATCCTGTAGCTAGTGTTGAAGTCTACTTCCGTCACGATCCTGCAACTAATTTTGAAATCTTCTTCCGCCACGATCCTACAGCTATGGTTGAAGTCTATTTCAGCTCTATCCTGCTGCTACTTTTGAAGGCTACTTCCGCCAGTGATTCCTCTTTATTCAGAACGATGCGTCACAGCTGCAACGTTCCATTTTAGTTTTTGACTCCGTGCCGAGGCTGTATATTTCTTACGGGTCTCAGCCATGAGCCATGGTTTCACATCCGGAACTGTAATGGTCTGCCTAGACGAACCATAACAGTGTCCGGTACTCGCGGCCATGACACAATATGTGATAGATGAAAATAAATCTAAATTCAGTCTTAATGAAAAATTAAATATAATTTATATCGAAATCCCACACCAATGAAGATATTCAGAATATATAGATCAGCATCTTTTTATGTAATTAAAAGCGTGGTTTATTTAATTCGATATGTTATAATCTGCACGATAATGCTAATATATATTTATATGGAATATTTTTCGTCGCAAATTCTGACTTATATTCGGGATGTGCTCGTTTCGAATTTTGGAGAGAACGCCGGCTATTCTGGCCAAGGTTATTCACAATTTCCCTTAATGCTTCCAGGCAATTGCCGGGGCAGTACTCGAAGTAAGGCCATGAAGGTTTCCTTCCACATCCTTTCCAATTCGTCATTCATTGATTATCCTACCATATGGCGCTATTTAGCTATGTATTGACAGCGTCGTTAAATAAGCCATAAAATGAAATAAAGTTTCTTCACCGCGTTCACCGATTAAGCTTGTTCTAGCTCCAGTGACTAAAGTGTTCCTTCGTAACTTTTTGGTGCAAAGCCTCTGGCAACTCACGCCATTCGACTTGTGTTGGTAGTTCAGCTTCGGGATTCTATTAGATATATATTCTGTAGTCTTGTTATCGCCCCAAAGTATACAGGGTGATACACGAGGATTTACCGCCACTTATGGAGCTCATTCCTGAAAACATATTGAGCAAAAAGTGTCATATAAACCTGGGTCCTATACTCAATATTTACAGAGTTACGTTCGTAACTGGAAACGCACTACTGTGAACTGATCGCCAGACCTTTCCCCGTTAGATTATTGCATTTGGGGAAGGATGAAGGACAAGTTTACCAAAGGAAGGCACAAACACGTGAGGACTACTTGCTCGCATCATGCACGCTGCTACGGAAATCAGAGGTAACAGTGTCCACCTACGTAGAGCAACGTGAGCGGTTCACAAACGTGTGGACAAGTGTATTGAAGCGGAGGGCGGCATTTTTGAAAACTTGTTGTAATCTCTGTAAGACTTTGCAGAATTGAACTACAGAAAATCAAGTTATAGAATTTAATTTGTTTTGTGGCAATAAATGCATTAAAATAATGTAATTTTGAATTTAAAATTAAAATTAGATATTTTCAAATTACGAACGCAACTCTATAAATATTGAGTATAGGACCCAGGTTTATATGACACTTTTGCTCACAATGTCTTCAGAAATGAGCTCCATAAGTGGCAGTAACTCTTCGTGAATCACCCTGTATAAGTCTTCACATACTCAATTTAAACTGCTATAGGCAAACCTTTGCAAATTTGCATGCACATACAGAGTGATCCTCGATATTTGTAGGGGTTTCTGTGGACTATAAAAGGAAATACAGACAATAATTTAGAATTACACTGTAATTAATCGCAATTAACTGCGTGCACTGTGTTACAATAATACATCACTCGCTGTACTTGGAAACCTTATATAACCCATTTTGTATCATTTAATATTATTTATACGTTTTGCCACTAAAGGCACCCTCTACCTGCTTTTAAATGTCATCTTACTCTTCTATAAATAGTGGAACTACCTAGGGGTGCTGATAAGTCTTTGGCTTTTTCTATTTCGCCCCTTTTATAATAATAATACTTTTATCATATCAGATTGCTATCAGAAAAAATTGCTATGCGAGGGGGTGCTGATAAGTCTTTGGCTTCATAAAGAAAACAGCACTCTACGGGATTGAANTATTATTATTATTATTATTATTATGGGAGGGGTGGGTTTCCCCATGCACCGCGACCAGTGGTCTATTGTACGTCCCCTCTGTGATATTCTACCAGTCTCTATACATTACCGATACTGGTGCGTGCCATCAGTCCCGACTCAGCCAGCGAGTTCGGCCTCTACTGGCTCAGCGGTATCTCTCGATGCTTCCCCCATCTATCAGAGGCGTTAGAGACTACTGTTGGGCGGGAAATGTACGATCAATTTGGCTCAGTGGTCCCCTTGGGACATGAGGTTCTTTTACGTGCCGTAAAGCTACGACACGGGACCCACGGCTTAAAGTCCCTCCCGGAGGACTTGTTCCCTGAATTTTTCCGCCCTTAAAAATTCCACGACCTCCGCCGGGTTTGAACCCGCGTACCTACCGTAGCATATAACAGCAAAACATTCGTATAATATTTCATGAAAACGCTGCAAACTTTCAAAAACTAAAGTGAGAACACATCTGTAGTCGGTACAGTACTCTCATAAGTCTACTTACTTTCCTTGTACATAAAAGAAAGACAGGCCAAGAAATAGTGGTACTATACGACAATGACTGTCATTTCATTCTACAAATACAGCAATTATATCTGAAGAAAAGTGGGCGAAATATCCAGAGGGGATAGAATTTGATACAATCCCTAAATCTGATTGGATTATACTATAACGGAGGGAGGAGACACATATAAAAAGAAAGAAATAAATGCAAGTAGATTGAAGAGAGAAAATCAAATAAATAGAATCGAAACTTATTGAAATTGTTCTCTAAACCGTGAAGATGTTCATGTCGCGACATAGAGTTTCACCCTAGATAATTATGATGAATCTTTATGCATGATGTCTCTGTTGCGTGATCCAACTAATCAATTGTCATGTTCCGTCCAAAGCAACACACAGAATGTATAACATTAAATTTATTTTATTAAAATCACAACATATTTCATCATCAGGTGAATACAAATACTTAATGAGTGCTCTATTGAATTTCAATAGCTTTACCTCTCATGTGGGCACATATTTACAATGATTTCTCTTGCATGACAGTATTAACACTCAGCAAGAAGTGGAATATGGTGTCATACCCTTGTAGCTCCAGGTTCCATTACCCTAGTTCATTCCAGGTTTGCTCAATTTTACTTAATCCACCCACCAACTTCGTTCTATATGTAGATTTTACCCATGTACTCACTGATGATGACCAAAAAAATGGTCGAAACATGTTGTGATTTTAATAAAACTAATTGAATGTTATACATTTTCTGTGTTGCGTTAGACGGAATATGATAATTGATTAATTATGATGAATATCTCTCGCTAAATTTTCAGATCTCCCCTCTTTGTCACCTTGGAAAGTGGGCCAGTCTCTACCTGAGAGTGTGATGTGGTGCACAGAAGCTCTTAATGAATCAGCATGTGCCTGGATCCGCTTAGTGTCAACGTATACACGTATCAATATGTCGTCAAGATGGCCGTACAAGCATGGCCTGCAAATGGCGACAGATTCCTGAACGTCACAACGAGAAACAGCGACGTCCTGTTTATAAAATATAATCTGTCATTATGGTGCTGTGGCGTCTTTATTTAGAGCAAATACCCCAATATTCGTTACTGCTTACTTGACAGAGCCTAAGTCTGAAATGTTTGCTTCCAGTCGCGTTGATGGCATTTGAAAATATAACTGCCTTTCTAGTTTAAAAATACTTTGTAAATAGACCAATTATAATAATTTATATGTTTCTCAAGAAGAACCTTGTTCCGTGGATATAATGAAGTTGCAGTAAGTGTCACTTTACATAGGGATCTAAATTGACTTATGTATATATTTTCCTTCCGTAGAACACGTCGTTAAAAATAAAGTATCAGGTATTTATTATATGAGAATTTCCACATTTAAATTTTCTTCAATATAATTGATTTTAATGGCCATATTACTTAAGAGCCCAGTACATTTACGGAAGTAGCTCACCGAGCAGGATATTCACACAGGAGAAAGCTGGTTTGTATAACAGATGTGTGGATCCATAACATGCAAATATTATACGTTTTGGAATTGTTTGTACAAGNGCTGTGGCGTCTTTATTTAGAGCAAATACCCCAATATTCGTTACTGCTTACTTGACAGAGCCTAAGTCTGAAATGTTTGCTTCCAGTCGCGTTGATGGCATTTGAAAATATAACTGCCTTTCTAGTTTAAAAATACTTTGTAAATAGACCAATTATAATAATTTATATGTTTCTCAAGAAGAACCTTGTTCCGTGGATATAATGAAGTTGCAGTAAGTGTCACTTTACATAGGGATCTAAATTGACTTATGTATATATTTTCCTTCCGTAGAACACGTCGTTAAAAATAAAGTATCAGGTATTTATTATATGAGAATTTCCACATTTAAATTTTCTTCAATATAATTGATTTTAATGGCCATATTACTTAAGAGCCCAGTACATTTACGGAAGTAGCTCACCGAGCAGGATATTCACACAGGAGAAAGCTGGTTTGTATAACAGATGTGTGGATCCATAACATGCAAATATTATACATTTTGGAATTTTTTGTAAGAAGTTCACTTATTTAGAGAAAATGGCTAATATAATCACAATAGTGTGCTCCCTAAAAAGCGTTGTCCAAAGCCCTGAAATTTTCAAATCATCTAGTTGAGGCCTGTTCGATTTTCTGTAAATGGTTACGTAGCTTGTGTGAACAGCAAAATGGGACATGAGTAAGAAAGAAGCATCTCCAATTCCACCCCTAGGTAACATCCCTGATTTTATTTTTAGATCGTCACAATTTTCAACAGAATCTGAGTTTATATTACTTATGTAGTGCACTAGTTTGTGTGGATACAAAGGTTATAGAGGTGAGACAATTTGAAAGATTTCGGACATCGAAAACAAAAGGACACGAAAGAATTTATGTGGCCTAAATAAAAGAAAACCTGCATGTAAAATAATAATATTCAGTTCGAAGAATTTGACATTTCTAGGGCTCTTAATTTCATAATTATCTCACATACTAAGGACAACAAAAATCGGCCGCACCATAGCTCAAGCGGTTACTCGCTGGTTTCCCACCGCGGCGGCCCGGGTTCGATCCCGGGTCTGGTCAAGTGGGATTTGTGGTGGACAAAGTGGAGCTTGGGCGGGTTTTCTCCGAGTACTTCGGTTTCCCCTGCCAATCTTCATTCCACGAAATTCTCCATCATCATAATCACCCGGGGCAGGTACAATAGGCCAATCAGTGGCCGCCGTGCCGAGTGGACCACCCCCCACTAAGCGAATTAAAAAAAAAAGGCAATAATGATGAATCCTAGCCAATCGGCTCCCGTAGTGTCTCGAAGTTGCCTTTCCCTTTATCAATTACAGATAAACAGCAAATATTCAAGGCTTACTGAAATTATGATGTGAATAATATTCACTATTGGTATGCGTCTGTGTGTGGCCCAAATGCTTGGCAACAATTCCTCCACAATGCAAACGCTACAGTTCACTACAAAACGTAAAAGCATTTGCAACACAAATATGCTTTGTCTGTCTGCAAGATTCTTAGCGAGCCACTTAACACATGTACTAACAGTAAAACAAGAAATACTCCCTCTCAGAAAATTATCGTCTCTAGCAATTACGAGTGAAAATGATTTATTGTTATGGCCAGCGAAAATGAGAGCATGTATTCAGATGTAGCCTGTTCGCCGCCAAAGTGACATCATCATTGTGAGTGAGGAAGAAGCATTGCTGTTGGCTGAACTATTTCAACCAACGCCCCTTGCGGTGTTTGTTGACACTGCGGAAGTGGAAGCACGCGGCGAATGTTTGATGAAATTCAAGTAGTCCGCACGTTAGGTATGTGAATATACAGAGTGGAACAGAGCGTCAGTTCAGTGGTTGGTAAAATTTACGCTCAAATACATTAGAAATTTCTGTATTACTTACAGAATTTACCAAAATATTCTCGAAGTGAGATACTTCATGTTGAATGCCGAAATTAACAACGCTTTGATATGTTGTACAAATTGATTGGCAGGGTTAAAGCTGAACAATCCCGTTATTATGAGAGAATATTTTAACTTAAGACACTTTTGAACCACTCTGTATATTGGTACGCATGGACGTGCTCAAATGCCAGCCCTGAATTACATTTTTGTTAAAAATTCAGTATATACGAGTTACGAACAGAATGCCAGGATTTTTCATAGAGGTGGAATATAATCGATACACACACGATTATGGAACCTGTCAGATGACCTGTGCATGTAGAAAGGACCCCCACCAACTTCATTCTTGTGTGTATTTTACTTTTAAATATAAAAGTAAGGTAAATTTTCCCCTGTGCTTAACTAACTAAGCACTACGCCATTAAGGCTTATGGGGGAATGGATGTCTAGATCCACATTTTCTTGACCTCGGCACTTGTTGGAGGTTAGTGGTGAACTTCACGCCCCGGCCGCTTTATCTCCTGGGAAAGAGCCCCCGGTACCCACTGGATAAGAGGTTGGGTGGACCCCAGTGCCGGTCTGGAAAACATGGACAAGTGAAAATTCATTTTGGGGGACGGGGTAGCGTAGTTGGTTGAGGCACTATGCTACAAGCCGGATGGTCGCGGGTTCAAGTCCCGATGAGGTGGATTTTTTTTTTCAATTTATCTAGTCCTTCCAGCCGCACTATGGCCCTGGGGTCGACTGGGCCTCTAACAGAAATGAGTACCAAGACTCTTCCTGTGGGGTCAAAGGGGGGCCGGCGTGTAAGGCTGACAAACTTATCGCCATCTGTGAGCCGATTGCCTAGACAAAATGTCTAGAGCAGAATTTAGTGCGTTATTTTAGAAGTTATTGGAAGACAAATATTCCCTAAACATACATATTACTGATAGTGAAATATTAATTAATGGTTCACAAATCGCAAATATATTTAGAAATATACCTTTTCATTTACACGACTTAGGTTAAAAGTTTGTCATCAAGGAAGAATAAAATTAAAGTAAAGCTTTCTAAGAAAAATTGCGTAGCTTCTTAAATTCGGTTACAGATTATGTTACATTTTATATTATAATTCCTGGCAATTAATATGCGACGTTCCGCGTGAAGGTGGCTATGATATAAATAAGGCACACCGACAGAAGACCATATGCGAGACAGCAAACAGAATGCTAATAAATAAGAAAATAGGAAAAGAAGGATAATCGTAAAATATGTTTATTAAACAAACCCTACCTTAATACATTTGGCACCAATAAACTTTCGACAGTGACATATCCTAGGTATTTAAACACTGACTTCCCAATTTGCTGAATCATGTTCGATAACAGATCAGTTCATATGCGACTTGTGGCGGACAAAATGACACTGGGGCAAGTTACCTCCCAATACTTTAGGTTTTCCTTTAAATTCTCATTCCACCAACTGCTCTACATTCATTAATCAACCTGTTATCGGACGCTACACAGTCTTTATACAGACAGCGTCGTTAAATAGCCAACTATGAAAATAAACTTCCGATACCAAGTCGTCGATATAAACTGTTTTAGTGGGTCAACACTGGGAAGAAAAGAATACAGAAGCCACAGTTTTCAAAGTTACTCTAAGTAGGTAACTGTCGCTACCCAGTTATTTAAAACAAATCAATGAATGTTTTGACTGTATAGAACTATCAATAGACCAAATAAGAAAGCATCATTAAATAACGGACGAAAGAAAGCAGAAGCGTAAGAAAGGAGGACGAGAGAATATATGGGAAGTGGAAGACTCTCAGGTACAAGTTCCAGCAGACACGTGGTGAGTGGCAAATGTAAAGATATTGTGATATTTTAACTTCCTACAGTGAAAAGAGATCCAAATTATTAAAGAACAGATTTACAGCTGACAAGACGACATCTTCACTTCGCGTGGTCATCCACAAATTTAGCTATAAGTATGCGCAACATGACTGGGGATATTATGTGGCAAGGTAATGATTTTATTAATGTTTTGATATAATGTGTGACATATTATCCGCCATTTTCAACGTAAGATTTTCGAACTGAATAAATATATTTCACCGATATCTGGTACTTAGTATTCTTATTAAAACTTAGAGCCTAACAGTGCTAATTGAATTATATTATGAATGTTGAACCTAGGTCATCACATGAAGTAAAGTCCTAGCAATGAACACGTTCTGAAAATATTTATATTTAATGGAGAACACCTTATCAGGTTTGTTCATTATAAGGAGGGAGTTTCCTAGCTACGCGGATTGTTTACACAAGGAGAGAACCAAGATATTAAAAAAATGGCATCCAGAAGCTCAAAGAATTGGTACGTCCGTAACTTCCTTAATTTCTTATTACAACCTGAATATTTTATTGGAGTTTCGTATAATTGTGAGCACTACAAAATTAGCTAACCAATTATGTTTCTCACATTTCTAATTGTTCTTCAGCGGCACCTCTTGAATCGACCTACACAGTGCGATGTGCGTATATCTCACTCCCAGAAATAGAAACCCATATTCCTTCCTGCGCTCCAGCCTTCGAAAGTCGCGACTTCTGTAATTTTGGAACTACACGCATACACAGACCTACATACATACAAACATATGCGCCAGTGCGTGTTCATATTCACGCACTTGCATACGTATTCTTACGTCCAGACTTAGAACTGCATACACAAATAAATAGCGTGGTTTAAGGTAAATGTAAAATTGTCCCTAAACACTATGTCATGCAGACATAGAAGAAGTGGATGCATAGACCCATATTTTCTTGACCTCGGCACTAAAAGAATATTCAAACTGGAACGCTTTAAAAACATCAAATTAAAATTTCCATATCTCTACAGAGCAATTTTTCCTTGCACACGGTTTATTAAAACTCATTCCAGTACAGTGAATTTTACTCATTATATAAGCCTATTCTGTATGCTGAGTCGTTGAAGAAACGAAGTACGGAACATATTATGACTCAAGTTTTATAGAACTAATTTCTCTAGTATATAGGCAGTTGG